TCTTTTGTTACAGGGCCCTGTTTGCTTTGTCCGAGTTCGGAGACCCGGCCACCCATATAAACCATACGTCTCCAATCTCGGAGTCCCCGGCAGGAAGTGGTTAAGTAACCCAATAGCCCACTTCCCCCCTTCTGAAAATGTTTGGTGAGACACATCTTCAAGGGTGTAATGTCGTCTTGTATTCCTTCTTAAATGTACATTTGTTTGGTTTTGGGGGGATGAGGTGGGGGAATCGCTGTTGGGATGGCATTAGTGTGTTTACTTGAAATGCTTGGGATTTGTCAGTTACAAGTGTAGGTACAAAACGAAGTGGAAGAGACCACTGGAGTCGGAAAAACTATTTAAGTTGTTCTGTTTTAAACCATAATTGAGTGTTTTCTTTGACCTCTGGCCCTTAGCTTTGTGCGTGGTAACATTCCAGGCAGTGTAAATATTCCCTTCAATCAGGCGTTTTCACCGGAGGGTGACTTGGTACTCTGCAAGGCCGTCACCTTGCTGAACAACCACAAAGGCAGAGTGGTGGTAGTTGTTGGCAACAGAGGAAAGAATGCATCCAATGTGAGTGCACAGAAGTCAACTTGTCATAAAAATTGTTAAGGAGCTAGTGCCTGTTTGAGATGCAAATGACGAGCAAGGTAGCATTTGACTGGCATAAGCTATGCTGTAGGGTTGGTGACTGTTAAGCATGGGGACACGGAGTTAGAACCCAGCAGCTGGAATGTTAGTGTTGTTGGCAATTCACATGCCCCTCTCTACCCAAGAGTATAAATTGTACCTATCAAGGTACAGGTGGGATGTACATTGATATCATCAGCTGTCAAACTTGGTCTTGTAGCCTTATGAACAGGGGTAATGATTATAGCCTAAGAACTGCCGGATATGTGCACTTTATAAATGCACATGCTGCACCCATTAAATGACGTTGTATTGTGTTTTACTTGTCTTAAAGAACACTTTGCCCATTACTGTTTTTTCCTTTGCAGTTTGCAACACAGCTTGTCAGGCTGGGATTCCCGAAGGTGTGTGTGATGCATGGTGGGATTGAATGCCTACGACCAACTGGTATCTTGGCCGTCTCCTCCCCTGACCTTGTATAAAGTTCAAGATTACAAAAAAACAATTCCCTGTTTAAATCATACAGATAATCATTAATTTTTGTTATTTTCTGAAATCAGCTCAAGCACTTGAGAACTGACAGCTGAATATCAAATCTTCCTCAACTGATTTTGAAGAGTTTTACTGTTTTATTTTATTGTCAAAATCTGTTCTCTACAGCTATATTTTTATCAGTTCTTGTGAGATCACCTTTTTACTCATGCAGCAGAGTTATATAAAATTTACACAGGTTGTACTTGTAGCATTATTTTTCATTTTTTTTGCGCTTGGATAATCATGGAGCTTACGTAGTTAAGTTTGAAGTTCAAGAGGCTGTGTAGCAGTCTTTGAAAGTTCACCAGATAAGGTATACTGGTTGTCCATGTGATGCCAAAGCTGGAAAGCGTGGCTCAATTGTGGACATCATTATGTATTCACACAAACAGTTACTTCCATTTGCTGAAAATGCACACATATGGTAGTAGGTACTTCAAAAAAGGTCACCTAAATGAATGAAGTAAGGAATGCTGGGTGAAGATTGAACTATCAACAGTGCAACTGGCAATCAGCCAGTATCATATGAAATATATACATGTGGCAGTCAGATTAACAAAACAGCATTATGTTGGTGTAAACAAAAGAGAGTGCCTTATACTGCATTTTAAAGTGTTTTAACAATTATTAGTCGATTCTAGAACTGTGACTTGTCCATCTGCATTTTTTGTTTTTAGATTTAAGTGTAATGAAGGTGACAGATGCTAGCTAGGAAATTCAACCTCCCTCAAATTATTTGCAGTTCTACTTGTACCTTTTCTCATAAAATTTTCTGTAAAATTTTGGACAGCAGTTATTTTTATTCAAATTATTGTCTGATTTTATTTTGTGGAATATTCATATTGAATTTAAAAGAAAAGAAATGTAAATGCTGGAAAGTTCACCAGTTAGTTCAATGTGTAGGGTTCAGCTTTTGGTCCATGGATAATTTTCCCAGAGTTTTGGGGAAAATCTCGAAGAGAACCCTGCAGTTTGTGTTTTGGCCTGTAGAGGTGGATTTCGGCTTGACAGTAATGCTCAAGATTGGTCTTGCATTAAATGTACTTCATTGTTAATCACCACATGTTGAATTATTTTTCCCTTTCAACACATGTCAGGGATCCACAGCTGCAATGCATCCTAAATTCTGTATATTGTAAACATATATGATGATGTCTGTGTTAGACTAATTATGTTGAACCAAAGAGTGTAGGTCACCAAAGTCATCATGTGTATCAAGACTTATACACCAATAAAAGATTAAGTGTAGGTCTCATAAAATTACATTACATGTATACGTATCATCATGGAACTGAATGTTGCTTTGTAGATAAGCATTAATGTCACTTCATACAGACTTTTTGTGCAGTATCTGCATGAAATATTCACCCACTCCTTCAGATAAGAGTCCTTCTTGTAGTGAATTTCTGCTTCAAACTGCAAGCAAACTTTCTAATAACAATCCTCGAAGATTAATAAAGAAACAGTAAAACCAGCTGGAAACATGATCTTAGTATATATTATGAAATGACACTTATCATTATACCAAATTCAAGGTGTGAAAAGAGGAAAAGACTTAGTTTTGCCATTATCTATAGTCTCTTGAATTTCTGGCAGTGTGTTTTTCACTATGATAATTGTTTTCTGTTTTTAATAGAGCCCAGTAAATACAATCATACAAGCAGGAAACAAAATGGATCAATTCGGGGGAAATTAATGTAACAAGGATAAGGGTAACGGGGATAAGAGGGACAATTTCTGCCAACTTATGCTCTCAACTTTCAGTCAGAGTTGAATGTGCCCATTATATGGCAAGTTGGAGCTTGGTCTGTGGTTTGAGCCAGTCTTTGGAGTCGTTCGCGGTAAAAATTCACTGTTTTCACTTCTGTCTTTTTGATATTATTTGAAACAAGGCTTCGTGAAATACACACAAGGCTTTGTGATGATCAAGTTTGTGAAGGGCCAGCTGCCCATGGTGTTGGGAACGAACACTGTCAGGGATCCCCTCCCCAGTGGCATGCCCATGATTAGTAGGGGGTGCTTGGACCCCAAAATAACTGTGACGCCATGCCCTTTGAAGGTGGAGCGAGACTCGGGTGACAGCACCCTCTCCACACAGCGCAGCTAGACAGCACGTACCGAAAAGTCCCAGAGCGGCTAGGGATGTGTCCGTTTGGATGGAAGTACACCGTCCCAGTTGAAAAGCTGATCTTTTGGATTTGGTCGGATGGCTTGCTGTTATCTGATTGGCTCAGTGGTTTAGGTGAAACTCAAAGTGACATAAACAGTCTAGGGCACCCATTCACTGTAAACCAGTGACCAGTTTCATAGCGCTGTTTTAGCACAACATTTGCTTAAGCGGGAAAAAACTTTGCCTCATAAATAAAAGTTACTAGTTCAAACTCTATCCGATTGTCATGCTAACCAAAACACAGGTAAATACAGTCCCCAAACATTATACGTCATATTGACTTTTGGCTGGTTACCAGATTTATCAGGTAAGGTATTTTTGCGCTTAAGCAATTTTGTGCTTACGCAGCTCTATGAAATTGGCCCACAAACAAACATCTGACCATGGGAAAAACCTGCTCGCCTGGCTTGTTTGAAAAACATAACAACAGAGGATGCTCCTTTAAATGGGACAACTGTCAACTTTAATTTTTACAGGCCTGATAAAAAGAAAAGGCCTCAAATGAGGAAACTGGTTGACAGCAACTAACAGAGGGCACTTTCTCAAACGTAGTTTGTGGGCGAGGACAAAAATATTTCCCTCCCATAATGCACTATCTCTAAGGGGGTATGTGTATCCAGGGCCAAAACCAATGTAGGGATGTCGCCCTACTCAACTAATACTGTATGGGTTCCGGCAACACACCGCAAACACCTGGTAATAGCCCTCCCACTTCATGATAAACAGTCGCTGATCAGCTCCTATCGAAGCAACACTCAGCCAAGGAGAGCTGGGCGGCTATTTCATAAGCATGACGTTTAAATTCCTCACCAGGGCTTCAGCAAATTTTGTAGTGTCACTGGTATCTGTGATGTGCTGGGGAAGATAATTCTAATCCCGTACAGCTAGGATGAAAAAGGAATGTTTGTAGGTTTCGGTGCCGGTGAACGGTATCTGGAAATATATAGGCTTCAAATTTCTTGTATATATGACTGTTTTTTTACATGAAACTTCAGAGGGTCGGTGACATCGATTTCAAGTTGGTTATAAATAATCTTGTTCATGTTGACGAGTCTCAGGATGTATCTGCGGCCCTCTAATGTGGGGAGTTGCAATTTGTGATGAAGAGCCGTGACTGATGTTGTGTTATCCCAGTTGCAATTATTAGTGATGAACAGACTACATTACGATGCACCATCTCGATCATGTGTCTATAGGGGTCCCAAACAGAACTACAAGTCTTCTCTTTACATACACTATAAAACACTAAACTTGTCTCTCTTAATTTGACGATAGTGCAGCACGAGAATTGACGCTCGTTCGATTCCTTGCCTTTCATTTTATCGGCATGGTTACCATTTATGGCATGTACTATATTTTGTTTCTGTAAACAATATTTCAAATTCTATTATGGAAAATTTACATCAATGCCTCAATATAAAATAAAGTCGTCAATTAGCCATGTCACGGAAACATTCTCTTAGTAGATTACGTTAGGAAATTTTCATTTGTACTCCGGATCTTGTCTGCATACCCCAGTCTGATGCACAGTAACTCTCTTACGTTGTCCTTAATTTTGAACACAATACATAATACCGGTTTGCGAGCAAACCAATGGACTCAGTTTACTTCTGATCATATGTCACTTTCTGTATTTTAGAATCACTTCACTGGAGACCACAACGTCCAGGAAAAACCAGAGATAAAAATTTCAAAAATGCTCTGGAAACCTGTGTCCAAAAATTGTTAGCAGTCCCCCTCTGTGCTCTGTTGGACTTCACCTAATTTTTTTTTCCAAAAATCCTATTGTGCCGATGTTAATTAACGTACGTCTATGGGTGTGCTCGCTAGAACTAAATAACCATCTACAAAATTGAACCCCTTTAAAACTCCCATCCTGACATTCCTGATTACACAACACACCTGCTTATTGACCAATCAGAACCTTCACGCTAGGTGTTATTCGAATTGACAAGACAACAATTTCCCGCTTTTCTACGAACCGCGGGAAATGTATATACTCCAAAATATGGTCGAAACAAGCTCTGATGAGCTCGAAGTTTCACCTTTTGTGGAGCAGAACTCAAATTTCGCCTCAAAACAAGCAGGCTACTGGCCCTAGAAGTGACTGCCTCCACGTGAAAATTCCATTTCATGTCGCTAGATAGATGCACACCTAGATGTTTATGGTGTTTCACTGATTTCAGTATGTGGCCTCCCACAGAATATGGATATTTTATTACATTTTTCTTATGAAATGAAGAACATTGCATTGATAGGGTTTGAAGCGCATCTGTCAGCACCGCTTCCATTTCTCCAGGGTCCTAAGATCTTGTTGAATAGCCTCACAATCTGCAGTTGCTTTTATTTAGCGATAGATGACACAATCGTCAGCAAATATATAGGCTGATGTTTGAAGACAAGCCTCGCACAATATCGTTAATGAAAATCAAGAACAGAAGGGGGCCTAGGGCACCCCGATAAGACAGGAACTGGCTGTGAACTAACACCTTGTAAGACAACTGACTGTTCACGCCGGGTGAGAAAGGTAGAGATCCATTATTTTATGCAGTAGACCCTGAATTCCACAATCTTTTGTGAGGGACAGTACCAAATGCCTTTGCAAAAGCTAAAACTACAGCATCAACCTGGCTACGATTGTGAGCAGATACAAAATGTTGTAAGCAGTTGTGAGAAGATGAGTTTCACAAGATCTGCGCGCCCTAAATCCATGCTAAAAGTCAGTACCCTCATAAGTGGATGAGACATGACATGACTATAGACAACATGTTCCAAGATCTTACAGCACACAGAGGTGAAACAGGCCTGTATCCGGCAAACTACAGCTGTAGTTTCCCGGGTCCGTTCTTCAGCCCTTCTTAAAGATTGCTGAAATATTTGCCTTAGGCCTACGCCAATGTAAAGGACGGTTGTCCGTCTTGATATTTTGGTTGAAAATAACACCGAGTACTGGAGCAATCTGACTAGCACAGAATTTGAGCTTTAGTTGCCACAAATTTGCGAAGAGTTTCCGAACACCTGCTGGATTGATAATCGGGATCATGATAACGGGAAGTGCCTCACTATTAAGACTTGAAATAGACGATGTTGATTCACGGGTCAATACAGACTGAAAACACTTGTCAAGAGCCTCAGCCTTCTTTTCCTTTGGAGTATTCACAAGCCTATTATTTGAAAGAAGAACTGCAATTCCTGTTGAATCCCTCCTCCTGCTCTTATTGTATGCCCAAGACTTCTTAGGGTTGATACTCAAATATATTGGTGGAAATATAATTCCTTTCTGCTTTTTTCTCAATTCTTTTTGTACATAACGCCGAAGGGATCTATATTGTTGCCATTGTTTCATGTCATTCCCTGGATTTGCCTTGACAAGCGATCTGTTCGTCTGTCTAATCAGTCTTTTGAGAAGTTGGTTCATCCATGGCAAGTTGCAACGAGAACTTTTAATTACAGATGGAATAGGCCTATGCTTCTCCATTGATGAATCAACTGCATGTTTAAACAGCTCCCAAATTTTATCCAGTGATTTAGATTCGGGATCCTCAAGGAAAAAATTCTGGAAAGACAGAAGTTCCTCCTGTAAGCCTTCCACATCAGCTATATGGAAAAGACACACCCTTCGACGTCTACCCTTCTGAATGACTGGCTTTATCAAGGGTTCTGCTGTTACGATGAAAACGATCTGAAATTCCTGGTATAGTATTGACTGGTGAAAATAAATCGGCGTTGGCAACAAGCAGGAGGTTTAAAATATTCAAGACTTTAGTAGTTCTTGCTTCATGAATGTGACTGACTTCCATTGCAAGTTGTGAACAGGAAAAGTTGTTTATAATATTCAAGAGCGCAGATGAAACCCTTTCAGTATAGATACAGTCTGATGCAGGCTTTCTGCGAGGGATGGACCACTCGATATCTAGAACATTATAATCCCCTCCAGTCCACACAGCAGGACTCATAGATTTATCAATTTTAACCAATGATTCACGAAGTTTGAGAAGGGGCTCCTCTCCCTGCGAAGGAGGCTGGTAAAACACAGACATACAAGGGCTTTCTGTTCACCAGTTGAACTTTGATCCACAGCAGCTCTGCATCAACATCCAGCTCTGGCATGTAAACAGCAATAACATCGTCCCTAACTGCAATTAATACTCCATCCTTGGACTGAGCTCTGTCCAAGTCTGTCTTTCCTATACACTATGTAATTTGAAGGGAAGCATTCAGAAATGCTAATCTCATCGCTGAGCCATGTCTCCGTTCCAAGTACTATATGAGGGTTCTCACTATAAGAATTCTCTCCGAGACATCTTTCTTACGCCACAGGCTTTGAAAGTTTACAATGAGAAATTTCAAGCTATCCAATTTTCTTTTTAATTACGGGTTTTAAACCCTCCTTTGGCAGGTTTCTGCAGTACTGAATATGAGAACTTCTTGATTTGGGGTTCCTCAAGGGTGAAGATGCCATACGAGGCTCACCAATGGATGAGAGATTCGCACTATTGCACATGCTAGGTTCCAGGTTCCGTTTCAAGCATATCAGTAGAAGTATCAACATTAGATAGCGTGCCTTCCAGGATAGAAAACGAATTCCCATGAATAAAGCTATTCGAGAACCAAAAGATTCCTGGACTAATATTTGGCATATCATCATTGTCATCATTATTCTGCACATGACCATCAAGAGGGTCATAGTGACCTCCAGACACCCCTGTCAAGCAAGGGACCAGCACTCATTTGGAGACAACTTCACAGCATCGGCAACCTGCTTACGCCAAGTGAGACGGGGACGGCCACAGGGCCTCCTCCAGATGGTAGGTTGCTGACCAAGATGGAACTGGATGGCTGCGTCGAGGGCAAGACGGGCAGAAGCCGGGGCTTGGGGGCGCCGGATATGACCAAACAAAGTGTGTCGCCTTCCTGCAACCTCCGAAACGATGTTTATACCGAACCCCGTGCGCTGAGAGATGATGGCATTTGAAATGAAGTCAGACCACAGGACGCCTAGTAGGCCTAAGCGACGGTGGCACTGCATATGGAAAGCCTGGAGACACTGTTGATCTCTTTTTCTTATTGTCCAGGTTTCGGCCCCATAGAGGAGGGCAGAACTTAGCGCAGACCTTTGATAGAACCTTAGCTTGATGGGGAGGTTGGCCTTGCTTCTCCAAAGATGGTCTAATTGGCCTATGATGTTGCTGGCAATGCCAATTCTGCGTAGGACATCGGTACTGCATAGACCTGAGGTGGTGATAGTGCTTCCAAGGTAGCAGAAGGACTCAACAGGATCCACGACATCGGGGGCAAGGGAAACCGGGGCAGGGGAAGGTCCACCTAGGGATTGAACCTTGGTCTTAACCCAAGAGGGTTTAAGGCCAATGTAACTAGCTTCTCGTTCAAATGTTGCAAGATGTTCTCCCCCCCCCCCATCTGTCTTGGTCGTCAATAAACAGCGCAGCGTCATCAGCATATAGGAGGTAGGTAAAGCTATGGTTGCCTACATCGGTCCCCGGTGATGCCTCACACTGTGACAGAATGGAGTCCATGGCAACACAGAATAGAGTGGGGGATAAATTATTGCTTATCCTGACCTTGGCTTTGGTGTCGGAATGCAGAGCTTTGATCAGATTCAGAATGGTATTTGGAATCCCTTGTGAGGAGAGGATATCCCGGTCAACAAAATCAAAGGCAGCCTGAATGTCTACGTAGGCGACATTAAGCGGGCGATTGTACTCTTGATGGAGTTCAGTGAGTAGACGTAACGCAAAAATTGCGTCAGACGCGTGGAGCGGCTGGGGGTGAAACCTGACTGCTGTGGTCTCTACAGGGAAACAAACAGTGGACTAATTCTGGCTATAGCACAATCATAAGCAAGGTGATGAGGCGATAACTACTGCAGGCCGTCCTTGAACCTTTCCCTTTATAGAGAGGTAGAATAATACCAACCTTCCAGTCTGTCGGAACCATGTCTGTGGACCACACGTTGGAAAGATCTTGTGAAGAGATCTGCGAGCGCTTATGGGCACCTCAGCAGATTTCAAGTGCTCGGAGAAGATGCCATCATCTCCTGTTGCACGACCCGATTTCAACTTTCGGATAGCAGCCTGCACTTCACACAATGACGGAGGGTCGCATTTCAGGCCAAAGACTACAGCTTCTGGAAATGTGGTTGAAAGCGGTCTTGTGAAGCAGCTGGGAAGTTTAGCGACTGGCAGAAGTGGTCTTTCCAGCAGGACAACATTTCTTCCGACGAGTTGCAAGGAGAGCCGTCTGCTCTGGATACCGTGGAAGGGGTTGAATGCTGGCCAACTACGCGCAGGCGCTTCACTAATTTGAAGGCGGGCGGAGATTAGTCTGTCTCGGGCCACCTTCGGCCTCAGAGACATTGGAGTCATACCATGCGTTAAGGTCTTGTTTTGCCTTGGCTTTGTATATCCCCGCCAGACGACGACTCTCGACACGGTTGGGGCTTAGACCGACCCCGTCCAATCAGCGCTCTAGTGGCGGGGCACAGTCGCTGAAGGGTGCAGTCCACTAATTCAATTGAGAATTTCTGGCCAGCTCATTAGCGTTAAAGTCCCCCCCCCCCAGTATATTTTGAAAAAGGAGATTGTTTGGTCCCAAAAATGGTGAGATTGTGTAAATCCGTCGTTGCCAGCTAGATCGACCCCCTGGGTCTTTGAGCTTTCATATGGGAGCAGAATGGCTAAAGACTATGGTTGAAAAGTGGTGTGCCCGACTCTGAGGGTTGCCAGTTGAACTTGCTGCAATCAGACTTCGGAAAAATGACTTTTCGGGGGTGAGTTTGTTTTGTGGGAATAATTTAAAATGTCATTTGTTAACCCACGAAAAATTGAAAAGAAATTGAAAGATAAGGGACCAGACAAGAATTTCGTTTCAAAAATTCCAAAAAAAAATACATCTTGAAAAATAGTTCGCGGTACCCGCTGCTTCATTTGATTCGGACCGGCCAGCCAACCCCGGCAAGCTCGGTGGTCGAGTGGTTAAGACATCTGCAGTAGTAAGCAGGAGGGCGTGGGTTCGAGTCCCACCACCTGAGTAAGCTTATGAGGTTTTTTCACAAGCTCTAGGACAAGCACTGAGCATACAGTGCTTATTAATATACGTTTGGTAAGGGCAAAACCTGTTTCAGAAATCTCAGGGATGTTGGTATGCATGTTATTGGGACATGAACAGTGTTGAGTTTACACTGATTTCAATGGGACTTGAATTAGTGGACTGTACCCTGAATGCTGCCTTAATCACCACGCTAGCGCCCTCTGTCGCGTAACATAACTCTTGGTACTTAAGCCACAGGGACTGAAATTAGATGTAGTGTTTGCATCTTCGTTTTTTCAGAAAGAAAAAAATTAAAAGAAGACACAAAGACCGGGGCCGGGTAGGGTGGGTACGGCGCCACCGTCCCACACAGCCATATCATCTCTCTCAAAGGTGCTCAGTGCAGACCAAGTGTCACGACTAAACCCCCTTTTTTCGATTGAATCACTTTCTTATTGTTTTAGTCGTGTTTTTTTTTAAGTTTTATTTGAGTTATTTCCAACTGTTTCCAATCAGTTTCCGATTTCGATTTTTACAAAAAATTTAATTCTGGCTCGTGGTTATAGCGCCCTCTTAAGTTCAGGAGGCCGGTCGTGTCCAACTATAGATATGGGGTCCGGTTCAGTCTGGGATTGATTCGATTGCGGACCGAAGTTGTATGCTTGCGCAGTGAATTAAGACAGAATAGAATTTTAGAAATCTCCAGTGATTCCTGTCGAGAAATATCATTGTTGCCGTTCAACAAATGTGTTGTTTTGATTGCATCTTGTAGGTAGGTGAGAACAACACATATTTTCTCTTAATTACAGGCCTAACAGCCGTCAGAAAGTGGTAGCGTCCTTAAAAGTGAAGTTTAGCTGAGAAAACAGTTTTTCAGACGTCTCATAACATATTGTACATGTACCTTATACGAGTGCCAAGGCCACTTACATCATGACATGTACTAGGCCTAGGTTTAGGGCCTCACGTATTGTCCATAAATGAACTCTTTCCCATACATGTATGCAATGGAGTAATAACATGGGTCAACCATACGTTGTCGGCAAGCATATGGTTAGCCCCACTATTGTGGCCCGGAGTCTCACTCCGGATCCATCCTTAGCCACACATCCATATGCGCAATTTCGTGGCGACGTATTGAACATTTCAGCGCACCCACTTATCATCGTGGGCGCAATTTCTTTTGCACACGAACGTGATTCTTGACCTTTCTGCTTTCTAAAAACCATTTATTGAATGATTTCACTCACATTATTCTGGTATTTTCCAGTCTATTTGCCTTATCCATTCAATGTAACGGGCTCGCTCTCACAGTCGCCATCTTTAAAATAAGATTGTTGAACATTACGTCACTTGACCTCTCGTCTCGACGGCTCTTCCATGTCAAGACATCTAAACTGCTGCCAAAGTTTTGGAAGTGCCCATTGGTACATGTAGTATCTTATCACCCAGTCTGTTTATTACATATTTGACATGGATCAGCCGTCGAGTCGATGAGGGGTCAAGTGACGTATTGTTCAACAGTCTTATTTTGAAGATGGCGACTGAGAGAGCGAGCCCGTTACATTGAATGGATAAATGCAAAAAGACTGGAAAATACTTGAATAACGTGAGTGAAATCATTCAGTAAATGGTTTTGGAAAACAGAAAGGTCAAGGATCATGTTCGTGTCAAAAGAAATTGCGCCCACCATGATAAGTGGGTGCGCTGAAAATGTTCAGTACGCCGACATGAAATTGCGCATACGGATGTGTGGCTAAGGATGGATCGGGAGTCAGTGCCACACTAGTGGGGCTAGGGCCTAGGCTGCTAGGGCCAGGTTTAATTTGCGCACAGTGTATGGCCATGGCTAGCCCCACAAATAGGGCTATAGTGGCTCTCTTTTACAATCTGTCTCTGGCGACAGATAAGAGACAGATTGTAAAAGAGAGCTACTACAGCCCTATTTGTGGACCTCAGCCATGGCAAGACCATTCCGGATCCTAAGCTATATTATGCAATCACACATATGAAGCCAAACCATGGTTTACAACCATGCACAATGCATAACATGTATGGTGCATCGGTGAAGAGAACAATTTGCAAGTGCTTATAATCACTAAACGACTGTGACAGAAATTCAGTATTGTTTTAGAATTGAAGAATCGCTCCATACCCGTATTGTGCGTTTGTCTTCGGGAGGGGGCTTGACAAGCATCGTACGTACCTGTGCTATGAGGCTAATACACAAGACTGCACACTCTGGAACTGCTACCCGGATCCAAGGTCTAAAATAGCAGTTTTGGGGCCAAAGAAAAAAACACTGTGGGCTGTGGAATTCATTACTGAAATTCTTGATTTTTTAGAAACGGAGAAATGTTCCAGATTTCACTAACATGCATTCTAAACGGAGGTTTGGCTGGCCCTATACGTTACCTTGTGCACTCGGCCACTGACTGTCCAGGGTACCACAGAAGGTGCCCTCTCAAATGTCATTTTGCACTAACAAGGAATATAATCGCAGTATCAATGCGCACCAGCTCAATGCCTTTATAATTAATGGGATTTATTTTATTTTCTGTTTTTATACCGTTCATACCAACAGCGACAATGCATGGAAATATTATACATATTTTCTGGACAGGACAGTAGGCTTATTTATCAGCTTTACTTGGTACTGGATGTTGAGTAACTAGTTCCCAATGTAACCCTAGAAAACAAGCTTGTTAACTTCTAATTGGAGGGTGGAGTAGACTGTCAAACAGAAAAACCATGATATGATTCTGGTACTGTACCTCCTAATAATCCCTGAAAATGAACACCAAAGCTTTGTGTAAATTTCCACAATATTTTTAATTTCATGTCTGCATTCTTAACACACAAAATGAATCGGCACTGATGATTTAAGCCCCTAACAATGCAGATGAGAAAAGGCATCTCAAATACATGTAATATCACATACACGTAGTTAATGAATAATGTTTCTGCTTGTCAGGCATACTGCATGTGTATTAATCTCATCCTGATCTGGCAGTGCTTACATCGTTTTGTCTTGCATTGTACAATGTAATTCGCACCGGCGCATGATGATGAGTGAACCTCAGAGATTTCTGCTGTCCTTCGGTTCCTCCCCAGCCAAGTTTTCATGGTAGTGCATACAGTACATAGTAATAAAACGTAATTTATACATTGATGGATTTTGTTCCAGTTACCAGTCCTTTACATAATTTCAGAAAAAGCTGGTACACTGTTATTCGATTAATACAGTGAAAGACTTCACAAGAGTGGATCCATAAAGTACTTGTATTGTTAAAGATTTAGTTTAAATGGATTACAACTGTTTTCAACAATGTGTTTCGCATGGAATTTTACTTTACCTTTCTTTTACCATGCATTTTCTACACGAATTTTACACAGCCCTTAGTGTATTCCCTGTGATCACCAATGGCCACACTCGTAAGTGCATTTTTGCATGTGTGAAAAAATTGAAAGTGGCACTACTCATTATCGCTTATGAATATTAATTTTCAATACCTTTCGGGATAAACTGGAGACGACTCTCCAATTACATCCTCTCTTTCCTTAGACAACATTATATCTGACGGTTTCTACACGTACTTGTAGTCACCCCAGTTGCTAAGATGAATTCATGAGAATGATAAATATTTTTCAAACGAGCGAAATATTCCTTTGCAAAGTGAATTTATGAAAGGTCAAATTTTTGACATGTTTTGAATAAAATCATACATTGAGGATATGTTTTTTAAACCATATTTTTTTACAGAAATCTACCTTCTTAAATTTGGTGAACGAGGGTGCAGTGTTCAATTATTTTTACTATGGGAAGACAGCTAAAATTTTTTAGCCATGAAAACTCACCCATGAATATCATATTTTGGGTGACATTTTGATCTCAAATTGCACGTGACACGCTGTGTACCGTGTCATGAAAAGTTGCAGAATTCTCTGGTTTGGAGCTAATGCTGAAGGTTTTGTAAAATGTGAGATTGTGGGCTTATTTGTTTCCATCGGAGATCAGAAACATTGGAATCACTCCATGGCTACCATGCCTGAAAGCTGACACCCGTGGGAAGAAAGCTGACACAGGCCCCAGTCGCGAAACTGCGGCCGGCCGCCGTGTGGTGGGCTGCCGTTGAGCCAAGCTTGGGGTCCGCACCCACTGACTGACAGATTCCTCCATGACGTCACCGTACAAGCCCACATTCACAGCTCTGGACAATGGACATGCTGGAGGCCACATTTCACTACCTTGGCAGTACCTGGTTCTGGGTGATATCGTTGTCATGGTTGTTGTGGCAGCTAAATCATGTTTGGAAATATTAAAAGGTGAAATGAAGAGTTTCTTGGTCAAAATCAGTTTTGAGACCCTGCAAAACACACTGCATTTTTGTATGTGTGTGGTGAATTTTAGATACCTACTAACATCTGTAATTTACGGGCAGCATTTACACTTAACGTTAAACAACAATAACGATCAAAAGAACTATTCTTATTAATTTGAATTGAAGCGATTCTGACACATTAGATGAGGAATACCTTTGTAAATCTGTAAATATGGAGAAGCCTGCCAATCATTATTTTTACAACCTTTTGATAGTCGTATATTTATTTTTTCCAGTTGGAGCAATTACAGAGATGCCAGCCGAGATACCGGCGTTGGAATTTCAAGGATGACAGATGACTGCAAGGAAAGAATTCAAAATAAGTCATAACGAGTTGAAGCACTTAATGATGAATGACATTTTATGAGGCTGCAAAGTTTTATTTCATGTTTTCAAATTATTTGATATAAAATGTAAGACTAGAAAATAGTGTTTAGGTGTTAACATTCCAAACAAATGTTACCCTGTCCACGACACCAGGTACAGGTACATGTAGCTACAATGTATTTTGCATGTGTCTACCTTGCTGAAGTGCATCATCATAAAACTTTGAAAAAAAGTTGTTTCAAAAAGAATTTTTTCCAAAAGGAATTGTTTTAAACACAGAATTTACCCCCTAAGGTTTTGTTCATGTAATAGAACTCACAGTAAAGTTTCATTTTTTATGTTCAAATTTTTTATGGTTTAAGTCCTCTTTGACCCTCATTAAATGCAGCTGAGCAACAAGCCATTACACAGTTCCATTATTAAGGTTTTCTATCCATACAGCTGTGGTTGAGATCTCTGAAAATGGCTACAAACACAGGAAATCTGGACCATTTAAAGAAGTAAAGGCAGCTTAAAGAAAGAATGAGATGTGTAAAGTTTCATTATAATGCATCAGTAATGCATTGCTGATTCATGTTTGACATTTTCAATAAATCAACAAAACACGGAATTCTGCTCGTATTCTAAGCTCCTTCAATTCCTTGGAAATTAATGTCTGGTGGTTTTGTATGTGTTTCTAGACTTTTAAGACTTCTAAGAATTAATGTTTTACTGGTAACTGCTGCCTAGAGGCAATCTGCCGTTGGTCTTTAGGGACTGGCAACACGGAAGCCATTGAAGCAATATATGCGGAAGTGCAGTTAGGAGTTGCGAAAAATAAGTAAAACACCTTTAAAAAATTAGAACAGGCTTTTAGGAATGTAAATGAATTTGAATGGGTTATTACAGTTGAGTGCTTAATTATTTAAGGTCTTCAAACAACTGAGATATTTGCCTTATCACGAAACTGGTGAAGCATACGTAAACGTGGCTATTTTTCAATGCACTGGTAAGTTCCTATTCAATCACATGTGAACTTGACCTTCTTAATCCAAAATAGGCAAACAAGATTTTCTCAGCAAAAAAATTTTGCTTGATAGTGACAAGATTAAAAAATTGTAACAACTCTTGAACTACAGCAAGAACCCAACAAAGTCTCCGAAAAAAATGCCATTTGTAAATGAGGAAGTTGTACTTTTCCTTATCCACAGGAATCATGATAGGTTTTTCCTAGCAATAATTCATAGAGACCATGCTGTAATGATAAAATTAAACAGTTACATCAAAAAGGTGCTTGGAATCAACCAGTGAGGATAATCCTCCAACCAGTGAGGGTTATTGTAGACTGAGGGGGTTAGATATCAGTCCTGGGCATGGTCTCTCCAGTGAGGGAGGGCAGTCGTGACCTACATGTAATATGAATCACCTCATGGACATCTTGGTCAGATAATCTTCCCAAGGGAGGTGGTCTAAAATCTAAAAGGAAATTGCACTTGACAAACATGTACTGTACATGTATAGTACATGTACATGTGGTTGTATTGCACAATAGCGAGCATACCAGTACCTGTAGCATGAGAGAAGAGGGACATATTGCCAATTACATGTACTTTCACATACATGTAGCACGATGTCCAGTGTGTGATAGCTTTTATGTATAAACTGTACATACACCTAATGTAAGTAAGTGAAATACTGCAGCAGTGTACTCTGTAACTAACCGACTGTTCACACAAGGTTTCCAAGTCTATTTTATGCTCAACTTTCTCAACATAAACATGTAAAGCCTTAAATAAAGACTGTGCCGGATGATAACTAGCCAGTGATGAACATTTCTGATTTTTTTTTCTGTTGCTTCATGGAATAAAAGTGAATATACAAAGGCCCACTGGTATTTCCACATTTATTCTGGTGTTTTTATGAAAGCAAGTTTTTCTTGTTTCACAGTTCCAGGACGAGGCAAATGTAGCGTACGCATGCAGCAGTGCAAAAGGAAATTACCCTGATGCTGTAGTCAGCTTTGTCAATATGGCGTCTGTCTTTGATGAACAGCGTGGCCGCCTGTGCACCGTTTGCTACCACCAGTTTTCATGTCATGGTGATGCTGTGCCTCGCATCTTGACCTGTGGACATAGCTTCTGCACCGGTAAGGTTTTACATCCTAATAAATGTTCTTTCATATTTTTTGATGTTACGTGTGAGTGTGTTTTTTCTTGGGTGCACACACATACGGTACTGTACATCAGCACTCATTTCTGGGCTGTGTGTTATAATTGTCATTCTTCAGAAACATTTGTTGAACACCTACAATTGTCAGTTACTGGTCTTTTCAAAACCACATACATGTACCCTGTGCATATAATTATATGCAACCCTGAATTGCAGTGTTGCTGTTAACATGGTATGTGTGCATTATGTCCTTACATGTCCCTCAGATATTCAAGTGAACAGTGGCATGGGTATGTGGGCTTGTAAGCCTTGAAAATATAAAAAAAACTCTTGAGAGCAGAGGAAACAAAGTGTGTTTGAAACATTCAAGGCATGTCTTGGTCTGAGTAGAATTCCAACCTTGGTCGTAAAAAGTTTGTTTACATCACAGCACTAACCTGACACCTTGAATCATCACAATTTTCATAAAGGGACAGTCATGAGGATTTTGAAGAAAAACAGCTTGTGAGATCATCACAAGCGAAGTTTCTCCTTTTTGAAAGACAGTGGATATTTAGCTGTCGTGGGCCAAACTTAACTAAATGAAATATAGCTGCTACGTGTACAAGTACACAGTGCTGTCTTTGATGTGTATACACAAGTAAGCCTGTAAAGCTTATTAAATTACCATTGAATTTCAAGCTGCAACCATAGTTGAATAGTGCGTTTGTCTTGAAAGTGAACATAAAGTACTGGGTTCGATTCCCAGCCATCAACTTTTCTTTCATCCTAAAAATTAAAGACTATTTTGTTTTGTTGTCTTTTAGTTGACTCCAGCATGTAATTATGGCATACAACATTTTTTTATTCTGATTCGTGGCTCTGGAAGAGTTTCCCAAGAAAAAAAGGTCCAAAATTGTAAAATGGTCACAATGACTACAGGTATGTCAGTGCAGAAACAGACTAAGATTTGTCATGGTAAGCATTTTAAGTACCCTCTAAATAAACCCAGTTACTGCGCATGTGCTCAGCTACATGTAAATATTATTTTGTTAAATTTGCTGGCAACAGGTAAATATCCGCTGCCTTTTGAAAAACTGAAAACTATTACTACTATGTGACAAGATTGTGCAGTAGGAAACTTTCACATGATTCTTTGAAGGGAATACTTTTACATGAATCCAGAAATTAGAATAATCTCAGTAGTTACATGTAGTCCCCAATTTACTCAACAAGGTTTCAAAGTGTTTCAGAGTAGCAGGCAGATGGATGAAAGTAGGCGGCAGTGAGTCCCAGCCCTTAAAGGGAGGGGGTGCTCCAGGGCCCGAGGGCCCCAGAATTTGTACCGTAGACGCTCTTTGATGCAATCTAGACCATTTCCTGGCATCTGAGACTAGGGGTTCAAAGATCCTACTCAAAGATATTTCAGCTGATTTTTGTTTTGTTTTTACTTCAAAACCAAATAAATCAGTCTTTATTCAGACCCTACTATCACTGGTACGTTACATTTATTTCCCCCCATGGCAAAATACACATACTAACATTGCATGAGATAAAGAGGCCACTTGAGGTGGCAAAACCTTGAAAGCAAAGCTTGTGTCAGGCATGCCATTACAAGAAACAAACAAAACACTGAAGTAAACACATACATTTCAGTTTCCTCTTGTGTAATGTGTACGTCAGCATACAATGTACATGCAGATGTATCAAGTGATTCTTGGTGGCAGAATTGTGCTTGTACACTGTATCAGCAAAGAGGTGAAACTATAAAATAGATTGGAGCAGTTGTTTGGTGTTATTAAACAACACCAGTGCATATACATGTAAAATTAAATAGTCTACATTTACATGTATTTTTAGGGGAAAATATTTTCCACTCAAAATTTTCTTTTAACACTGAAAATGTGCAGACTATGGGCAATTCCCCATGTTGTTAGTTTATTGCTCATGTTTAGGTGTTTTAGTTTTAAAATGTTATTTGTGAGATTGTGGGTCACAATCCACATCCATATTGACACCTACGTGTGAACCCAACCACACAAGCCTGTCTTGTCATTGATTTGCAGAATTAACACATGTAATACATGTAATTTTCATATACACTGTATTCTACAGATTTAAGTGATTCCTACTTTTAAATTCTCATGGTGTCTACATGCACCGGTATGCTGAAAAAAAAAGGTAGCAAGTTTACCTGTGGCTTTCACTTAAGGACCCCAAAATTTAAAAACAAATCTTGTCTGTCTTCACACAAAATCACGCTTGCAACCACTTTTTTTCACGTCAAAACATTTGAAATTACATGTATATGTTTCACTACTTACATTTGCACTTTTTGAAAAGAAAGTTCTGTTACTTTCTCGAGGTCCTTATTTGCGTTTTGCTATTGTGGTGGTAAAAACACATGTAGTGCATTGAAGCAATGCTGTACTGGTTCCTGCCACTTGGCGCCATTGTCAAAAAAGGCAGGATGGAAGTGCGGCAACTCCAGCCACAATAGCGTTGTTACACAACATCATACATGCACGTAGCTCCACAGCTATACATGTACATGCACGTCTAAAAAATATCAATGTTGTCATGGTTGTGAGAAGATTTTTCAAGTTAATTTGCGAAACTTGATCTGTTATTTTTTGTGTTCATGAATTTAATCTGAGGTTGTATTGCTCGTACTTCAAGCAAGTGTGTTCCAAAAAATCTATCACCGCGCATGGTTCATCACTCGTTCCTCTAAATGCACCATGCACGCATACCACACATATATGGAATTGTTAGCTAGTTTGCTGTTATGATTAGCTAACTACATGTACATGTAGCATTGTGCATAGTGGTGTGAATTGTCCACAATTCTTAAGAATTGTCAACTGTAGATATTTTTATATTGATTATTGCCACTTTTTATCACTTTTTGTGGCAATATTTAGTACATGTAGCTTTCGTTCCCATTCATTCAGCACAAAAAACTGCCCTCCCCCATGTTTTTTTCCAACCCACACCATGTACTGATCCTATTTTTCAGAGGCATGTAATCGGAAGCAGAGCTATTTTTTTTCTTGGCCTATGAAATTTTCAGGGGCATGATAGTTTTTTTGTTTGGACTTCATACAGATTCCTTCGGCATAGATAAGGAACAATCAGTACCAGTACATGTACATATGGGTATGAGCATGGTATGGTCATACAGTACGACATGACATCAACTCACACTAGAGTTTGAGCCACGTAAAGTAGAGTCCGTCATTTATGATCCAGTCGGCGAGACATGTTGGCTCTTTGTACTTCACAAAGCTACATGTATGCTACACAGTCCTGACGCACTAGGATTTTAAAAAAAAAAATTTTTTTTTACTAAAATAATTTAATTTCCATATTAGTAGCTCAGGGAAGGTTAATTTTTTTAACACTGGAAAAAGAGTAGCCGGCACAAAAGTTCAACTACTTGTAGCCGGTCAAAAGTTCAACTACTTGTAGCTGGTAAAATGTTCAACTACTTGTAGCTGGTCAAATGTTCAACTACTTGTAGCCGGTCAAAAGTTCAACTACTTGTAGCCGGTCTAAAGTTCTTTCATCCCAAGTCTCACAAAATTCAACAACGAGTTCCTCAGGTACGGTGCCAAACCTGCCAAAACCTCACAAAACCTGCTGTTGGAGTACGGCAGGTTTGGGGTAGTTAGGGTTAATAAGTAAAGCTGCCTGTCCCTTAGGCTTCTGGAAAGTGAAAATCCATGTTTTCCTACATTATTGCCCCTCTGTTCAATGTGTCTCTCCTTAGTGATGGGACACTACATTTTGAACATGTTGAAGGGACAGTTATCTTCATGTCTCTTTGTGACAACACAACATCCCTACCCCTGGCATCGTTTATGTGATTGAAAAAGTAATGATGCTTTGATAATCCCAAATCATGTCAAAATAGTTAAGTGAGATGTTTGAAGCAAAATAGTTAAAAAGTGGAAATCAAAATCATTATCATTTTTAACAGGCCCATCCTTTGCAAAAACAGTGAGGAATTGGGAATTGGTCCTACTGTACTCTAACAATGAAGTTGGCTGTGTCTATTCCAGGTTGTCTTAGTAGACTGCTTGGCCAGCTAGCCCACGGTCACATCCGATGCCCAACCTGCAAAGGTGACACCTTGGTACCAGGGCTCTCTAATGACATCAACAAACTCTCCAAGAACTTTGGAGTACTGGAAATCTTGGAGAGTATAGACGAAGGAACAAGGGCTGCTGGTAATTCTGCAAATCAAGTGAGTGTGGATGAAATGTTTCACTAATTATTTTCAAATCTCAAGGTTGGCCAATTTGAGGAATTTTACATATTGATAGGTAATTTTTTCCAAACAAATTGGTCTCGAGATGCCCATTTTTACATGTGCAGTAGAACACCACCTTATAAAAAGGTGCTGTATGATAATTTTTAATTTTCTGAAATGACAAGCTCCGTGTTCTCTTTGTCAGCATATGGAAATCAAATGTAAGTGAAGAATATACACGCTGAAGCTTATTTTTTTGGAGTTGGTCAATTTGCACTGGGCCTTTACCACTTGAAATGGTTATCAAATCTGCCTTGCCAGCAGATCCCACTCTGCGCTGATCATGACAACGAGCCGATGAAAGTTTTCTGCATCCAGGATGACCAACTGATCTGCATCTACTGTCAGGTGTATGGTTCACATCAGGGACATCAGTGCCAGCTGGTGTCCATTTTGGCTGAAGAAAATCGCAAGGTCAGCCCAATTTTTTATTTTTTTTGGGGGGGGGGAAGAGTTAATTGCAACCTTTCACTTGGAATTTTTAAATTTGGTTGTATCATTTTTTTTGCCAGAATGAGCTAGGCTCCATAATCATAAAATGGGAATAGAACCCCTATCATACAGTGTACATGTATAGTCTAATTTGGCAAACAAAAGAAGCCACTGCTTTTACATGCCCATCAGATAGTGCCACCACAGAAAACAAGTTTGCTCGGATTAGTCTTCATTCTAGTTTTCATTTAAATCAAACTAGTTGCTAAACTGTTTGTAGCATTTTATTCCATTTTTGCAAACTTGGACAGAACCGCAAATTTGGTTATTCTTTTGCCTGTTTACAGACAATTAGATCCTTCATAGAGCGTCTTGGCAACCAGAAGGATAGCATGGTTGCTGTGAGCCAAGCAGTCACTGACACAGCAGGAGCTGTGCAAATTAAGGTACATACACGGGTATGTAAAACAAATTGCACATTGTGCAATGCAACATGCAGAGGGTTTTCCAATTTGATTTACACATACAGCTGGGCACAGTGTCTTTTGAAATACAGGTATGCAGAAATCCAGTCTGTGAGGAGCTGACATGCATTGGTTCCCAGGCAATTTGTACTGACTTAAGATAGCCAAAGTAAGGAACCAGTTTGATATTTTGTTTTGTACTAATGTTGCTTGCATGTATGCTCTACGGAAGATTGAGTTACAGCATGGTGCGTGGTGTTTCACCAGATTGTACGTGTACATGTCTTTCACTAGGAAACCATCACTAGCCACCTAAGAAATCCAAAACAAGTGTTCACACTTTTGCTAGCAACATAAAGGCTGGATCCCTTCAACAGTACAGTTTAGTTTATGAGAAAACGCAATGGGAAACTCGGATGTTTTTCGCCATTGGTGCTCATTATGTGCAGCTGGTTTTAGTCACATCCCATGCGCAGGTATTTTACCTGTGTTTTCAAATTTACGCCTACCTTATCCACTTTCTTCAAAGTACTCCAGCTCTAGACTGAGAACCCACTGACATGATGAGGACGTGGTTAGAAAAACTTGACTTTTTTGTTCTCAAAATGATTTGAAAGACCATCTTTTAAGACTTTGATTTTTGTTTTTCTTGTATTCCTTTATTTGGATATTTGGTGATTTTTATACAATTTTATTGTGGAAAAAAATGCACAGAAATAGGTATTTGCTCTGCTAACTAAACATTGCTTATCAGTGTTTGCTATGCAGATATTTTAAGGAAATTGACCACCGAAGAGAAGGCATTTTGTTTTCTGTTGTTTGTACAATGTACAATACTCTCCCATACTGTGCATAGGCACTTACATGTACATGTGCCACCAAGGATAGAAGACAGACCACCTGAGGACAGGCTTTAATTTCCATGTGATCTGCCCCCTGTGGTAAAGTAAGACGTCAAACAAACCATGTAGGGAAACTGACTGCTTGCATTTCAGTTATAGAGATGAAGTAACAAATTGACCAAAGTTGGAGTTGAACTTGCCACCTCTGGAGCACCGTACTGGTGCTTTACCAACTGAGTAAACCTGTCCATTGGTCAATATCTTATTCAGACGGCATTTGTCAGAGGGCACAAACAGTGTGCCAATTTAGGGTATTCCCAGGTGCTGTTCACATGGCACAAATAATGTTTGACATGTTCATTGAGTGGATAGACCAACATGTATGTACATGCACTTACCGGTATGCTTAAAATTACTCTATCTGCCCCCAAATCTGCAACATCAGGGTCCTTTCCAGTGATAACTTTGTGGACTCTCTGTGAATGCTTTCCATCACCTGGTTATTGTGTAGCAGTAAGTTAATAATGTGACGTCGCGCCCCTTCAATGAAAGCGAGGGCGCCCGCCTCCTCAAGGCACGATGGTCAGACGGCACATACCAGAAGGTCCCTGAGTGGCTAGGGACGAGTCCGTTTGGATGGAAGTATGCCTTCCCCCAAGAAAGTTCAATGATCTCTGGTCTTTGTTGAGATGATGCCTAATGCCAGTCACTGCTGTAACTACGCCTGCGTGTGCACTACATATGACCAGCAGTGACTTCCGTTTAACCAATTGCCCTATGCGCAAGGCGGAGCCTTTGCACCACGCTCGCTGAACACACAGCTATGTGTGCCTAACATCTGCCCCTGTTACTGGGCAGAGCGAACCTGACAACATCTCGCAATGTCAGGTATGACCAAATATAGAGGGTTTGCAAGGCTGCCATTTTGCAGGCCAGTGCTTTTGTTCTATAGGATATGCACAAAGGAGGCTTCCCTGTGGAACAAAACAACTGCCCTGTAAGATGGCTACCATTCAAAGCATCCATTCTAATATGTGATTTAATGAAAGGTCAAATATTCAAATAATTTATTAGTCAGTTTTACTGAGCCCTATTGTGAACTCTGCAGATGTATAGAACAGAGGGTAATAAAGGTTCATTGTTATACCATGCAAATTAGGCTTTGGAGTTGGAAACTGGCAGCAAGGAATTAAATTTAGCTCCTGAACTTGCAGAATTTGCTAAGTGTCAAATTTTAGTACCTGTAGACCCTTTTTTCCTCATTAAGCTCACAGATTTTTCAGATTTTTCATGTGGCAAAAATTTTAGAAAGTTAAAATTATCCCCAACCTGTCACCAGGAACATACTTGGATCTTCCAAAATCGATGCTAAATCTTTGTATTCTCTTTACTTTAACTTCATTGGAGCACCAAATCCCATGTAATGATTTGGGTCTTCAGTCCCCTGACACTTGGTACTCTGTGACCATTCCTTTCACATGTAGAAACCATGAAGCACAATCCCTGTATTCCCAAATGGTGTTCACAACGTGTCAGGTCTCCTTTTTTTTTTTGGAGGATCTGATTTGATTCCTGTACATGTAAGTTGATTTTTTTCAACCCTTTGTACTGGTATGAATGAAATATATGAAAACCTTGCAATTTTAATTTGAAGTGTGACACTTCCCCCATGCTTACATCCTCAGAGGTCAGTTTATTGTCCACAGTGGTAAGTGGGTGTGTGTAGTGTATGGGGAAGTATTGTGAGAACATGGAGTATTTGTGTGACTAGACCGAAGTATGTGTGGGACTGGTTGTTTCATGTATATACAAGTCTGGTTTTTATTTTACATACATCTTTCTGCCACTAAATTTATAATTTTCTTTGTTTTTTTTTTTTCTTTTGTGTTGGTAGGAGGACAGACTGATGTATGAGGTCACACGACACTTTGAGATGCTGAGACGAAAGCTCTATCAACGGGAGAACCAGGTCAAGATACTACTGAGAAATAGAATATCAGCCAAGGTTATGCTACTGGATAAACAGAAGAGGTAGGGCTCATGTTAGTTGGAAGAGTCAATTTACAGTGCCCCTCTTCTGTCTAGTCGGGGTGTGTGTTGCTCTGTGTGAGATTAAAAATGTGAATTAAGAGCAAAATGACACAGATTTATTTAAGCGCAAAAGCGCTCCNCTGAGCCAGGTTCGTGAACAAAAGAAAGTTTAACACAGCACAATCTGGGCCCTTTTTACAAGGCTGCAGGCCTGGCTGAAATACTCAGGCGTCAATGAAGGTCACCTGTCAACTTAGAGTAGTGCCTAAAGATTACTTCGTGCGGCTAGAAGCATCCGTTAAATGAAATGATAAATTTTTGAAGAATTTTGAAAACAGAAAAAATGATAATTATGCCGGCCCAGCATCATCAACATTGAAAAATGCCCTGGCATGAAGTGGTTAATGAAGCAATGACTTAGGCTTGATTCAAAAATTACTTTATTAAGAGCATATTGTTACTGGTTTTAGTTTCACTGCATAAGGACGAACATTTCTAATATCAATACAATGTGTGTGTACCTGTAGAGACAAAAGGTTGATGTACACTGGTATGTCATCATGTCAAACTCTGCAGTGGGCGATTTAAATGAAGGGAAATGAAATCATGAGTATAAATCCTTCAAATCAATTCATTCACTGAATATAAAAAGCGATCTAAATCAAAACAAGTGGATTGGATTGAACAAAACATCCTGCCAACCCAGACTGTGTGTAATGCTTGTACATTCATACTTTTATCAATACTGGGAGCAGAAAGGGCTCACAGAGGGGGGATTTGTTGTTAAAAGTGTGCAAAGCCTGCAAAAAGATATCAATCAGTTGAAAAGAATACAATAATTGAAACATGTTCGCTTTTTTTTTTAAAAATTAAATACACTATATTGATTTAAATTGATGATTTAAATCAAGGTGATTCAAATCAGCCAAGACTTTATCTTCATAGAATTTCTTTTCAAACTTGTTCCAATCTTTCACCATTCTTAATCATTTTACGGTTTGTGTACTGTCAGGAAACTGCATGAGTTGATCAGCAAGGTAGACCAGCTGAGTGCCTTGTGTCAATCCATCCTGACTGGCCAAGACTATGAGTTAGTGCAACAAAAGACAAAACTGGAGGTATACCATAATTCATTGATCCAGAGCAATGTTTCACTTTATTCTCACAAAATGAGGCTACAGAGAGGCAGTAATGCAACCCTTTCCCAGGTTTCTATCCCTGAAGTCTGAAGTAATTTCTTGGAATAGTCTACCCATCCTTAGTTTGATGGAGTTATTCTACCTGAAAATAGCATGATGCGCACACCAACGTACTGTGGCAGCAGCTAATTTTAGGAAATTTCCCCATTCCCTTCATCAGACTGATTTCCAGAGTCTCTCCTCCTCCATTGAGGAGCGTGACCTCCGACCCTGTACCAAGGATGATCTACATTGTCACCTGGACCCTTCCATGTTAGTCCAGGTGTCCAGCCATGGCATGCTGGTCAAGGAACCAGTCTACAGACCCTCATCAGACATACTCACTAATGAATCAGTTGCAAGTGCATCCACTACTGTAAGTAAAAAAAAAACGCCATACAACAGGCCTGTAGCTTCTGTGAATTGGAAAGTACTTTGACATACAGCAATCAAGGAGTTTAGGGATGTCCCCGTTTATAGTTTCCTCTGTTGCCTGGATTCAGTATTGGTTACTGATGGACTGCTGTGTGCTATTTTTTCATGCCTCCACATTCAGGGGCCAATCCTCTCATGAAAACTGTAGACTGTCTACATTATGTAAACTGATGCATGCATGCACATGGTTTCCTTTTGGGGTAAGGGGGGACAGGAGATTTACATGCAGGTTTTGGAAGAAACAAAGGAGGAGGAAAAAAAGCCCCCCCCCACAGTTTGTAAAGTTTCCCTGTTTGACTTTCAATTAATTTTTGGCAAATTGTGTGGAACTTTGTTTTACAATGTTCCAAGTTGTTTTGCTCTGGAATAGCTGGTTACAAAGCAAAATGTCACCTAATTTGCAACCAGATCTTAGCTAATTTTGTCCTCATAATGTGTAACGTGGTGAAGCAATATTTTCCAATCAGCAGCTCCAGTGGAATTGGCCCCCTGGATGAAGTATGTCATTTATCTGCATTGAAAGTATTTCCTTGATGAGGTTAATTTTCAAGGCATGAATTTGTTGTTTGTTTTCTCCAACTTGTGCAGATTACTTCTGTTTCTGAGACTGTAGGGTCAACTAGTAATGCAGACAAACAGGAGGGGGACTGTGAGCACATTGAATGGCCAGCAGAGATGGAAGTCAGTGGCAGAAATACTAGGTACTTGCAATTAGCGATTCATTAACCTCTTTTTTAAAACCAGTTCTATTCGTCATAGAACTTGTACCAGACATGGTTTTATTTGAAGTGAAACTACAGACTTTTTATGATAACAAAATGGCACTATCACAGTCAGGTATGGAGTAATAATTTATAAATGCTGAGTGCTGACCATTGGTGGCTATTTGTCCAAGATTTGTGAGACATATCTTACCACATCGCTGCCTTGTTTACACTGAGTGATATTTGCTGCAATGCCACACTGTGGACAGCATTTGTCTTCACAGATAATCCAATGATAATAATTCAAAGACATTACTTAAGTGGTACCATGCATGTTACACAAGTTAAGTTAAAAATTGTGCTGATCACTATCTCATATTGGAGTTGTGCCTATATCTGGATGATTGGGCGATCTGCATTATCACCTGATGGCTCTGTGGGATTGGCCAATCCTGTAGGAAATGTCCACTTTTGTTTCCCCATTTGAAACAGCTTTCCACAGCTGCGAATTAGAAAAGAAAGGAAGTTGGCTTCCTGCAAAATTATTGACAAATCATGCAGTGAGATCATTGAACTGATTACATAAAGGTCACATGATTGCGTAGATTTACCTATCGTGCCATCCAGACACTTGCACTCTGCAATTTGTTAAAGGAAGAATGCAGTGAAATTCTCTTAGAATCACTTTTTATGACTACTCAAACTCTTCTTCTGTGTATAAAAAGTGTTCGAATTGTGTTCAGAGTTAAGTGAACTGTAAAGTGCAGTTGTTTAAACATTCAAATTGACCAAGTTTTTCTAGACAAGTGTGGTATAAATTCAGGAGGACACTGTTCAGTTTGCATATTTTCAAGTTCAAAATTTGAACCCTGATTATGTTCTTTGAAACATTTTTGGCAATTTTTTTGTGTGTGCAAATCAATGCAAAATTGAGGTTCAGTGTCTTTTATTAAATCACAGCTTTGTCATGAATAGACGAATTCATATTAGCATGAAAATAAAAAGGCACCAAAATTCAGATGAAAAATAGCAAAATCAAACTTGAGGTTAATTAAGGAGAATTGTAACAAAAAGGTGCAATTTCAAGGATTTTAGTGAAATATTTTTAAAAGGTTCCTTTAATGTGCTCTTGTGTTGTTCATTAAAGATGTTCTCTCACACGGCCTGTGTGAGCATTTTTACCCCGGTCGCGGTAGGCCATTGAGTCTTACATTAAATGAATACGCATTGTGAGTTGGACAAAGTTGTTAATAGTTTTGACAGTGACCCTTATTAAAAAAAAGATACATCTACCAGTAGATTACATCTACCAGTAGATTACAATGTGGCGCATTCAAATTAAGCTCATATTTTGAAAGTTACTCCTTTAAACGTCGTAATTGTGTGTCCGTCAGACAGCAGAATAGTTCCTCTGATGTGATTATCATCTGTGATGACATGGACCTTGAGACTGCTGCAAGCAGTAGCGATCACATCGTGACTGCCTACCAGCAGCAGCCGCAGCAGCATCCACCTGCTTGCTGCTGTCAGGCTAGCTCACAGCACACCTGTGCATCATCCTCATCCAGGCAGGCCTGCTCTACAGGAAGCCGTACCCAGTCAGGGATGAATCGACATCGGGCAGCAAGAGGAAGTCCAAGCCAAAATCTAAGTAAGCCTCTGTCTTAGCGGGATAAATTTGAGCAGAAACTGTAGTTCAGTCATTGGTCAGTAATTTCTTAGCAACTGACATGTGCAGTCCCGCTTCATTGACCCAAATCAAACTATTTTTGCAAAATTCCCTATCACTCACATTTTTCTTCTGGTCCCATTTCCCAGTACTTTCATGGTTGCCTCCATCTTATTCTCATGCAGTTTCTCATGCACTATCAATGCCATGCCGTATTAAAGCCAAATATGCGAACCAACCAGTTTGGTTTGGTTTGGCTCGGTTCAAAAGTGCCATGTTTGATGATTTTTGGTTCGGTTCAGTTCAGTTGCAACACTACTCTGGTGTTTGCCAACCGGCACAGAGTCTACAAATGCATTCTCCCAACAGGCACTGAAATGATTGTGTGAAAAAAACCTTCTAAATAGTGAGAATCAGCAAATAATTACGAGTAGTACACATAAAATTAAATCCAAATTCTCAACACTTATTACGTGTAAAACATCATCAACAGCTGCTATAGACATTTCCTTAGTTCCGGATTGCTTTAAATGAAAACCTGCCTTTTGTAGTGTTCTCCAGTAATACTTTCTAAGACAAGTCACCCCACCAGAGGTCCTTGGGCAGGCTCCTGGACCTCCGGCCGTGAAATTAGCAGGCATTCTAGTTTGCCAAGCTACAACCCTATTGGTAACCAGTGAAGCAACCATGCCTTGGGATCTGCTTCCAAATAGTGGACTAGATTTATCCAACCACCCATCAAGTTGTAGGTTTCACAGAGTTTTCACACATATTACTTGCATTTCAGCTTATGATAACAACAATAGTTACCTGTTGCTGCCTACCTTAAAGGTCGTATGACCAGTGATGTGCCAGCTAGTCCTTGGTCCTCAAGCATGAGGGACATTTTGACTGCATGTGTTTGTACTTTGACATTGTGCACACAGAAGAAAGAGGTTGTTAGGAATTAACATAATGACTCCATTGGTCCATTTCAAGCCAGTTTAGGCACAGTTTGGTATTTCCTTTAAATAGTCCAGGATTGAATTCTGCTTGTGTTTCCATTGTTCATATTAAGTTATAAAGTGATTTGAGTTACAAAGGGCATTTCCTTATTTAATATATTTATTGATATTGTTTTATGCCTTTCTGTAGGGAGACTTCGTGCTCCAGTACATGTTGAAGGGAACCCACCCACAAACCGAGAAGAACATTCCAGCTCCTCAGATGAGGACGACAACCACTACTTGAGTGTGAGCGAACTCAGCGACATGGAGCTAGAGCGTCCTCTACGCTCAGCTTGGACCAATCGTGGTGGTTGGTCCTCCACAGCTGCTGTCAGCACCAGCACCCAACCGGCTGAGTGCGATACACCCAGCGTTCTGGTGGAGGGTACCCCTGAGGGTGCAGTAGGGGAGGTGCCATCAAGAGTGGGAATGGCTGTGACAGATGATGAGGGTGTTGTGCAAGAGAATGCAGAAGAGCCAGCATCAGCGGTTCATGGTGGTGGGGATAAGACCCAAAGAGGTAATTGGCACATTGTGCTGCCTTGTAACCGGTACTTTCTTTTACAAGCATGATGTACCATTGCTAATTGTCATGTACAAATACTGAAATCTGTTTTCAATATTTGCACGGTGATGCTTGATGTTGTGGCTGCTTTTGAGGTGGTAAGTATGCTTGAAGAAATGAAGAAATGTACTGTTAGTTTTGTACAGTAAGAAATACTTTTATTTGAAGAAAAGGTACCTAAATGTCTACTAATATCAGGATTTATCTGACATGCCTGAAAAGATGTTCCAAGTTCAGAGACATTCATGTAGGTTTTTTTCCAAATTCTTTAAACAAATTGTGAAAGTACCCCCGTCTTCATGTCAATGTGGTGCAACTTGTCTCTACACAGTACAAAGCACATGTAATACTAGATTTTGTAAAGGGTGTTAGTCACTCACAGATAGCTGACTGTTAAATGATGGAGGCATTACCCATCGTCACTTTCAAGCACACCCTCTAGATTCATTCTCTCAGTCAAGAGAGCATTTTGTTTTTGTCATTTTCCTGAAGCTTTATTTGAGTCTTTTTGTATTGTCCAGGAGAAGTTGAAGAGAGAAGGGATGAAGGGGATCCGTGGGAGGTCAATGCAACCTTGTCTCCACGGCGACTACGGAGACAGGGTCATTCATCGTCTCAGCATCAGCGGTGAGCATCCAAGGAACATTAATTGTCACTGAATACTTATAGAGCATTCAAGGTGTATAGTTATACCATAGTAATAGATTGTGATTTTATATTGGTCAAGAATCAATTGTGATATCCTGCGACCATGTATGTAAATCATGAGAACACAAGCCACGTTCACCGTGGACATGAGTGATGTACTCCACAGGGTACATTTACCTTGATTTTTCCCCATAGTTGAAAGTTGGTTTTTTTTTCACCGTGTGTACTGTTGTGACCTTGGTTACGGGGTTTTATAAAGCTGCAATGGGACAGTGAAGCATAATTCTGTTATGACTGCTGTTTTTGTTTATATCGTTCGTTTGTGTTTTCAATTGGGCCAATTTTTCTGTAATTTTACTAATATTGCGATAATGTCTGCAGATGACACCTGGTTGGTTTTTAAGAAACGTTTTTCTCTCATTCCAAACATGAGATCAGAAATTTGATTTTTGTGCTGGACAGCATCAGCACTAAGAAAAATACAGAATATTCAGAGCGTGTGCAAATATGGAAGTTCTGAATTCTGCAGACTCTGCAGTTTGCAACAGAAGTAGACAGCTTTCTTGAAAATTTCTCAGGAAATGTTCCAAGTGTTCAGTTTAATTTAATTTGTTCAGTGAAAGATTTTGTTTGTGATGACAATTTCAGTGAAATGAAATGCATTGTGATGCATTAAAATGTCTTTCACTTTTATCTTTTGTATGCATAAAATCTATTACCGTGGTATAATACAACAATCATTATATCGCCCTCAGGTGTCATTTGCCCTGAGGGTGTGCAAATCACCGTGGACCCTGCCACAGCATATAGTGTTGTATTGTATAGTGGACCATTGATAGTTGTGAAATAACTGACCAGGTTAATATTAAAACTGTATTTTATTTAAAGACAAAATGGTTTTTAACTGTCTTTAAAGATATTCCATTCATTATGTTTTCAGAAAAAAATTTAAAAAGAGGCTGTAAACCCTGATTCCCCCATAGTGTGTGAAAAATTGTGTTAAAATTCGAGGATTTAGAATTGGTAAGGCTAATATATATGTACATATGACCTGTATTCTAGGTTGCTTTTCAAATGAGTTTCAAGACACCAGACTTATTGTGCATTTTTTGTGTTCTGATCAGATTCAAGGGTAGCCTAGTGTGCTCCGTGTTCAGCTGCACCAGCTCCAACTGTAGCTTCTACGTCCGCTGCAAGAATTGCTCCCGCCTCTTCTGCCAGAAGTGTGTCAGCACGTCCATCAGTGCCCGGCGCTGCTACAAACGCCCACGTGGCCACAGCTTCATGTACATCCCACTGAATCCAGGCAACACCTCAGCCAACAACAACCAGCAGCTGCACCAGCGCATACACCACCTGCTACACCACAGCCACCAGCGTGGCGCCTGCTTGCGCCAGTATGAACGCCAGCCAGGCACCAGACATGGCCCAACGGAATCACAGACACCGGCCCCATCAGACTCCTGGTACTGCCTCCAGTGTCTGACAGTGAACCAGTCACAGACAGGCATCCAACGATGTGTCAGCTGTGGGCAAATCAATGAGAGTTCACGGCAAGTAGAGCACGAGACAGAGTTGATGACATTCCCATTGTCCCAAGATAGCAGTGCACCGCAGCCTCCACAGGAAGGTGACAGAGCACAGGGTACTGAAGCTCAGCAGAATGCTCCTGATCTCACCACTGAAAGCCATGATGCTGAGATCACCCTCGAGAACTTTCAATTTGGCTGATGCAACCTCTGGGGATTGTTTTTCAGGCCAATGGTGATGGAGTTGTATTTGACCTTGAAGAACAAAACAAAAATGTTTATTTAGGTGCTGCCATCTTGGTCAATCTCCTTGTGGCAAAGATTAGGGGCTCTTTTAGTTAGTTTGTTTCTTTTTATTCAAATTGTTGTTGTTAGAGTATATCCTACCAATTCTGATACATTTTCCCTGTGTTTCCAGAGACATGCCAAAAGTCAGGTTCCTTTTACATTCAGCTTTTCAACAGACTTTCAATGCTGATGGTAACCCTCCATTTCTACTACTTTATTTCTTTTGTAATAGCACAAAATTTACAGCTATGGTATTATGCATGGTATTTAATGTATCTTTTTGATTTGCAATACTTTACACATAGTATTAATGTTTATATAATGTCTTAAAAAGTAAAGTCATTCCAAATGTTTGCAATATTATGTAAATATTTATGCAAAACCTGTTTGTCATGCTGAATGTTGAAAGCGCAGCATGTCGATCATGGGGAATACTTTTGCATGTATGTAAAAGACTTGAGAAGTATATAAGCAGTTGTCTTTAAGCCTTTGAGAAAGTTGTGAGGATTGAAGTAGCAGTCCCTCCAAAGTTTGTATAATCCATTTAGTTTTGCACTTTATATTTGATGGTGCACTTTTAAATGTATATTAATTATTCTGGTAAATACTCAAACTACGTGTTTAAGAAAAGGTGTCTAGACTTCCATTTTTGCATTTGGATGGGGAATATTTTGAGCATGTGTAAGTATGGATCCATATGTTGACATGAGTTTCAATTTAGTCATCCCATCCACTATCCTCTTACCATGATTTGTTGATCAAGCAGATACACGTTGATTGTACATTTATAAGGGTAGAAAGGCTTAATACATATTGTAATAAATCGCGACAATGAAATTGAGAGCTACAGTTGCCATGATCATCATAGTCATCATTTTGTCAGTGAATTTGTTGTCAGCAAATCATACATTTAAGCAAAACAAGCATCAAATACCACTAGTCATTTGGTGACTGATCAGTACTAAGTTGAGCCCCCCCATGTCTGCACCTCTTCCTTGGTGTTACCCGCATGCAACAGCAATGTTACACTTACGTATCACATCCAAACTGGTCAAGGGACATCCATACCCAGAAAGCAGTGCTTAGAAGATATTTTGATTATGTAAATTACACTGATAAAGATGCACGTGTACTTCATGTACCTGTGTATTTCCTTTGGAAAGATGTGTATTCCTGTAATCGTGGAATTACAGTCCTTTGCCAACATTTTGTGAGGAAAATTGATTTAAATTGATTTGACTGTCAATCTAGCTCATCAGTTTGATCAAGTGTATGAAGAAAGCTTCAAACTTCTGTGGATGTTTAAATTTGCTCAAGAGATGAGGGAAAAAAGATGAAATACATAAGATCAGAATGCCAGGTTTTCTATTTTGATTTATGGAAAAATCGTTTACAACAGTTACGAAGTCATTTCATTTATTACTCGCACCCAATGTCCTATAAATAATATACTTGTGCCAGTGGGCATTTTATTAATGTGAGAAAATTCATGCAGTTTTGTTTCACGCAGAAGTTATGCAGACATATCCACTGGTATCTAAGAAGTTAAAACAAACATTCAGTGTGAGCCGAGGCGGCTAAGGTTCTTGAAATCACATTTAATGTGGGGAGTTGTGGGTGACTATTGTAAAAAACCAGACCAACATAATTTGGGGAAATGAGATAATAAAGTTTTCGACATTTACAATGTAAGAGAATGATTGAGATAATAACTGTATTAAACTTCAAGGAGAAATTTTGGATATTTTTTGGTACACCCGGAAACTTCATTTCAAAGATATCGAAAAGCTTACAGCTAATTTTATGAATATTCCTGCAGAAGGAAGTTGTAACATTCATCTGGGAAAAATCGAAATGAGTTGTACAGAAGAGGAGACGTAACTAATAAGAAGGAAAACGCACGGAGAAGACATAAGTCTCAAGGAGAAAAAGACTGGAGTTGCGGGGGATCGAACCCCGGGCCTTGCGCATGCAAAGCGCACGCTCTACCACTGAGCTACAACCCCGTTGAAGAAACTTGGGAAATCAATTGCATTTATTCAAAATACACGTATGAGCGTTGTGGTGGCGTTATTCCCAATAAAATGTCTGTAAAATTTCAAAAATCAATCAGCAAAAAAATGCTATGTATATTATTTACACTTATATATCATTTTTCGAAACAAATCATGTTTTAAAGATCGTTCTGAAAATACTAATTTTATCGTTTACGAAGCCTCAAGCCTTCAGGGAAAGAGGCTGTCAGTCGTGACGTCACGAACAGTGGTAAAAATGGCGACTGATGACTCCCGATTAATTAAAGGGTGGCGGATCGCAGCATATAAGAGGTATATTTTCAGCTATAAAAGAGATAATTACAATATCAAAACTAGGTAGGGAGCTTTAGTACATATTATGTTTTATCAAGTTGAGATTTCGTTACACAGAAATCACTACTTGTGCTTCTAATCATTTTTATAGGCTAGGTCTACTGACTGTCATGAATTTACACTGTAGTAGTACGCCTAGGCCTGTAGCTGTACACATGGCATGCATGCATGCTGTAGTGATGTTGTTTTGTAGTGAGTCCGAACTTCATTGACATGCTGAGTTTCTGAAGCCTAGACCCCAACAAACTTGGTATCATTTGAAAGCTTATGAGCAGAGAAATCTGATGATGTTTAGATCAGCTCATTATATTTAAAGTAACCAAGAATTAACAAGATATTCCAATTTCATCATGTTCATTGGACATGTTGGAACAAGGTACAAGGTTTCATTCTGCCATGTCTGCCAGTTTTGATTACCTCTACTAAATGGAGCATTAGTTGGCCCTANTTAACCCCTTCGTGCCGAATCCAAGAATTCCAGCCTCGCTTGGCCACGAAGGCCACCTTCCAAACCGCAAATTCTCGGTTTGTGGCCCTGCATGCAGCTCTACTCATGCCTCCCCATTCCTTAAAATGACCCCTGCCAGACTTGGTCCTCAATTTTTGTATCTATTCACACATTACTAAAAATTTAAAAACTATCCCGCTACTGTATACATGTAGTACATGTATCCTGTGTTTATTATTGATAAAGTTCTCCATAAAAAAGATATTGTTTACTGTATACTTCCTCTGTGACTTAACTACAGATCTGGAAGTGGAACCGATGAGACAAGACTCCATGTTGTTCAAATGCATTGATGAAAATAAAACTTGTGTCCACCCCCCAAAAAATGACGGACTAATTACACCTAATTTCAATAACAAAAAAATTCTTAACTTCACTATACTTACAGCTATTGAGCTAAATTTTATACCATTCAATTTCTTTTGAAATTCTCTTTCCAATAGTGAAAATTTGTGGGGGTCAAACAAAAAAACCTGAGAAGTGCCGGATTCCCTACCAAACTCTATGGGCAAACATGGTCCTCCAAGGAAACCGCAGGAGAGGCCCATATGTAGTCAGGGCACAAGACGTATTGACCTGGAAACAGTCGTTGGTAGCGCTCCCAAACGTCACGATCAACAAGTCTTGTGTCCAGACCGTGTAAAGCACGCTCATGCGTGCGTCTTTGCGGAACTATGTTCGTTTATAGAGTTATTGGACAGAAAAACAACACACCCGTATTGGAATGTGAGGAGGCCGAAAAAAGTTTGTGCCGTGCGTGTGTCGAGCAAAACGGTTGGATTTTGACAGATTTTGAAGTCGGAAATATCATTGAAGCCCAACCGTTTGGCGATGGCATTTCTGGAAGTAAGTTCTGAGAACCGTTTTCACCTTATTCTGTCTAATGATGTGGAGCGTCTGTATGATGATCCTGTCTAAAATCGTTAAAGAGGAATACTAATGCTCCACTTAGTAGATCTAAGTTTTGATGGCGTTCATTACCATAGCACCTAGCCTCACACGTAGGGCTGTAGTGGCTCTCTTTTACAATCTGTCTCCTATCTGTCGCCTCCACAGCCCTACTTCAAGGCATGTCTTAAATGCCTGAAACCCAAACTGCAGGAATGTCACAAACTTTTAATCCAATATCTTCCGAAATGAGAATGACTTGACAATTTTACTTAGGACCTACAATGGTGTATTTCTTAGAGTTTGGACTTTTATGTGAGCTCCCTAAAGCTTGCCAAAACAGTATATTTTCCGATGTATGGCGCCTTGAAAACCGGGCCTGTGATATTTGTATTTATTTTGAAAGCATTATAATGACAATAGAGTGCCGGCCCGGGCCGCACTAGCCTCATTATTTGACCACACATGGACGAATACGGCTGTGGAGTACGCGAACTGCTCGGCCCTTAGCAACGGACAGCTTTCTGCCTAAATCCACAGATAGTCTGCAGATTTTTATTTTGACAAGAACCCTAAAAGAAGTAACACGCCCGTCAATGAGATCTTGTGCTTACATGACACATACATTTTGCGAGACATAGCTCTCCAATCACAATATTCCCTTATAACATCATGCTTTTTCAATGACCATCATGTACGTGGGCGGGCAGATGGATGCTCTGTGGTGAGAGAGTGAACTCAGACTCTCGATCAATCATGGTCATGCAGCTCGTGCTAAACATCAAAAGACAAATAGAAATATAAATAAAATGAGTCTTCACATTCTTGCAGGTACACACAAGTCTACATGTGCATGCCGTTAAGTTAGCTTTTTCCTCATCCATGGCAATCAAAGGTCTTTAAAAAATCCCTGGCTTGATGTTTTTAAAAAGCTTAAAGAGCATTGTCCATGACAGACCTCAACAGTTTCCTCTTTCAGTTTGGGCAAGTAAAAATACGAGGACAAATTGCCTGATGGACAGGTACTTTTTCTTAAAATAAAAGTTTCTGTTCTTTTTTTGTGGCCAAGAATAGTAGTCAGCAAACGTACCTTTGATTTGATTTGTTTTCCTCTTCACAAAAAGGTATAAAAAGTGGTAAAAAGTAGACATTTACAATGATTTTTTGCATCGTTACATATGTGTATAAACTTGCATGTATTAACCGCATGCTGCCTGGTGCTTTAAAAATGCAGTGCACACATATGGGTATTCAAGATTTTCAGTTTTCAAAATTCTTTTCAAACGCGGCTGGAGTAGCATGAAGCGGCGCTGTGTCACTCATCAATGGGGCCCTGGAGCACTTTTGTCCGCGGTGTTGATCCACGGACCCGTGCACTATGCCCAAAACAGTGGTAAACTGTTTAAAAACAGTGACAAATTACCTTCAAAAAAGTGCAAGTCGAAAACTGATGGCAATTCCCAGCAACAGGTCTTTTGTTTTGAGTACTGTCTTTTTTTTACCCAGACCAGCTCTTTTGTTCCATTTCGGGCACCTCGGATTTGCGTGTAAACCCATGGTGCTCAAAACAGGGTTCCCCGGCAGCAAGAGGTGAATGCATGCTGTGCATTTATCAGGGCACCTTTCCACACAAGGGAAAATGCGGACATAAAGATGCTGAAAAATACACTTGTGTCTGGGTACCAAACCTCATTGCACGCACGGCGTAGCGGAGCTTTGGGGGGTGCTTGAAGACTGCTTCACATGTAACTGTGACTTCAACATAAGTAAATTTTGCCTGGTAATTGTGCATGTACGTTTTATATATGACACCAGGCAAAATTGTCGAGTGGTTAAGAAATAGCCATTGCCCGAACTTGTATGAATGATGCATCAGAGTCCTGTGCACACTCTGCACATACGCAATAGTTGAGGATGATAGTTGGCCGGTCTATGATAAATAATGGGCATTTTTAACATGTTTCTCAAAGCGTACGCAACCAATTCACTCCCTCTCCCCCCTCCTGCGTACGCTTTATACTCGTGAAAATAATGACAAAAATGGATGACCGCTTAGAGAGTCAGAGGAAATCAATATACAATAAAGTTTGATGAATTTTGTTTAAGAATTTTACTTTTATTTTTCTGAACGCCCATTTGATGTACACTACTCAAAAGAAGTAAAGGAACAAGAGAACAGAATGTTTTTGTCATGGTCTATATGGGATACCGTTAGAACAGAGGCATTAAAGTTATGTGAAAATCATTCAGGTGTTGTCACAGAAGTTTAATGCCTCTTGTTCTAATGGTAGCCCATATAGACCATGACAAAAACATTCTTTTCTTTTGTACCTTTACTTCTTTTGAGTAGTGCATATTCCTTGTGCAAGTAGTCCAGAAGAATCTCCTTATATGGACTTGGTGAAAGCACGGCAAGTTCCACATGCCTCATGCACACAGACTCCTGACCAATAGGAATGGATGTCTCGTATCCAGGTGCCAGTGCTTGTTTTAGCAGTGAGCATTATCAAATTGCAATTGCAATGGGCATTATGAAATGTTAATACACGGTTACATTGCACATTGTTGAATAGGGAAACTATATTTATGAATGGTAGTTACAAGAAGAGGTCGTAGTGTTAATGCCAGACGCTGTTGGGCTCTAGAGGTCCACAACATGCCAAGACCCATAATTTTTATGCAGTGGAAGTGGATAAATGTTATCAGGAGAACTACATCACTTATGTACATGTATTTGACACTTAAACATTTTTGTGATCTTAAAATGCCCTGGACATCAATCACTGTGGGATCATTTATTTGAGATTTATTTGATTGAAGCATGACAGTGTGACCTCTGACGCATGTATGGTCCTTGTCCCTGACATGATTTGCTTTTTTTATTGGCAAAGCAATAGAGCATTCACAGTGAGTATTTACTGGGGCCAGTTCCTTGCTTGCATTGTCACTGTGAATTGAAGCTTCTTGCACTTAACAAGGTCTGGAAAAGAACATTGTTGGCAGCATAAGCCTCTAGAAATATGACATTCACTATTGTACATATATGAACATCACCTTACTGTGATAATTATTATCTGAAATAACATTCAAAAAAGTCATATATACATGTACATGTATGTGCACCTTTCTCCATTGTGTACAGATAATGGCATTACCACCCACAGTACAGATCTGAGATTGTCATCTAACCTGCAAACACACTGTCAGAAACCAACCAACTGGCCATCTACAGCAATGTCTAGTCGGCGGGTGGACATCAACACTGCCCAGGTAGAGGAGTTGGCTACCTTGCTGGGCGTGGGCAGAGCGCGGGCAGAGGCCATTGTTGAGAGAAGACAGGTAAGGGGGTGTGCTTTGAAGAAAAAAAGAACCCGAGTGAGTAATGCAGCTAGCCCTCACTGTCCAACATGTTAAATGGAACTGAAGAGAATGGGTTTTCTGAGCTGTTGTAAGTGGCAGCTGAAAAATACCAGGCGAGCTATATGCTACTGTGTACCTTAGAAAGCATTCAGTAAGTTGCAAGTCATTTACAGGTGCTTCCAAATAGCTTTATTTCCATTGAGATACGTACAAAATGCTTCAAATTAGCTACCGGTACATGTATGCAACATTTGGACTGTGAAAAACTTCCTGGTTAATGTCTCAGTCAGCTTAAACACAGTGTTTAGCCGTCTCCACTTACAACATGTACAAGTCCTTTCACTAGACCAATCATAAGTAACAGGTTGAATAATGACAAAGGAATGCAATCCGTTTGAATAGCACATGACTTTTTTCAAGATTTTGGATTTGGGATAGACTCAGAGGGACCTGAAGGGATATATGATGGGATCTATTAACACTTATGATTAGGTGAGATTCTGCATGTATATCTGAATGACTGGCCTATATTAACCCTCCTATGCAAAGACACATTCTTTAACCAGTTGTCCTATCAGTCAAAACCAAATTTCCCATATGTGTCTGTGTCATGGGGAAATCAAGTGGAAGGAATTTTTGACTGTTTTTGACGGTTACAACAAAAGGAGGGTTAAAGAGACTACTTAGTAATCAGTATTGCAGCAAGTGTGTATCATTGCACAAATTATTGGAAGCATTGGATTAATCAATACAATATTTGATATATTGCATGAAGGCTGGATGATCCCTGTTCTCGTTTTTAACCTTTGTTGCACATTGTGATGATGCCTTGATATAATTTTTCTGTTCAAGAACATTAATGGATTCCGTAGTGTTCTGGACTTAACAACTGTCCCTGGCATTGGCAATGGTGTGGTAGACCAAAACAGTAACATGCTGACCTGCGGTACATACTGCAGCCACACTTCATCAGCTTCATCATCACAGTATCACAGGCATGCTCCAGCATCAAGCACAAGCCCCCAGATGGAAACCAGGGCTGGCACAAGTGTGTCCAGGGGGGCAAGCAGTGGCGGACACAAACGGGGTACAGGGGACAGGAACCATGGCTGCAACAAGCTCACAGTTGGCCGCCTGAAACCCAGTGCCAGTGCCTTTGGCACTGCCAATGTTCGCAGACCGAGTAGTGGGAGGAAAGCAACACCTCCCAAAGGAAGGACTAGCACCCTTCGGTCTATTCTGGCAACATCCAAGACCGCTGGTGCTGGAAACCAGAGCAGACATGCTCGGCTTGGCAGGCGAGCTTCAGCCACTTTGCATCGATTCTCCAAGTCACCTACTACATCCAGAGTAACCAAGAAAAGCAAACAAGCAGTGGACGTTCAGGAAGAAAGTGACCAGAGGTCGAGGGTATCATTACGAGATTCGAGCAGTAGGGCTTCGACTTCTTCATCAGCTGCCTACTCAGAAGCCAACTTAGGGATTAAATCTGTAAGTACATGTGTACACACCGTCAAAGTCAGCCTGAAATGTAAATGTCTTGTGATTAAGTTACCAGTATTCTCATAACATTGTTAACCAGTGGGTACCTGCTCCGAGCAGGAACAAAAGAGGGCCTGTTTTAAATTAACTTGATATTCCTTTGGTACCAACTTAATGCACAGGCAAGCAAGTTTATGTGCGTTTGATGCGTGGTACGCTGAGCATGTGCAGTGAATTTAATTCTAGAGTGTATGGTTTTCACGTGCGCGCCGAATGTGTGCAAGAACCCGGGTGGAAAGGTTGGTACCACTGTCTTTCTTTTGCCAGTGTGGAGGCACTTAAACTGGGGGTGGGCAGGTTTTTGTTGGAAGAAAAATTTCATCCAAGTGCTGGTGGTCTCAACTTAACGCACGGACACCATTTTTTGTGTGCCTTTCTATCCTATAGTGTGTTAAGCGCAAGTCATCCACAATAGCTGATGAGATGAATCTAAAAGGCAACACCTCCCCCTCCAAGAAACTTTGCAGGGCCCACGATGCTCTCAATCATAGGTAAGATATGTAGCTGTACCCCTGTATCTAAGGTGATGGGTGATGGGTAATTTCCTCATCTTCCCAGCTTTAAGACTTTGCAGTAACTGAGTGGTGTGTTCTTTGTATACCTATAACTTTAGGACTTCACTTCTCATATAAAGATTGATAGCCAATATCTAGGGTTATAAATCTGTAACATGTAGACAAAGTTTCTCTGTAGCCTTACAACATTCGTTTTTCTTTGACCACACTCAGGAGAGAATTAGTCTGGTTATATTGAGCCATGAACATGGTCTTTTAAGGTTAACGGTGATATTCCCTTCCTTTACTTGGCCAGGCGTTTACCCACCTCCACATCAGTCCTGCCAGCTAGCAGTACATGTAGTCGACACAAATTCAGTTCATCTAGAGTGACGCCATATCAACAAGACAATGTAGAAGCACCCAGAAGACGTTTGTCCTCTAGGCTACAGCTGCCCTCCAACCTCAATGAATGGCTAAAAACCTTCCAGGCAAGTGCACCAGTTACTCACCCCTGATCTCCCCCTCCCATTCAAGGCACAATTCTGAACAGCCTTCTTATCACTTTGCAAAGTCTGAACAGCTATCAACTCCTAATGTTTGGAGCTGTTCAACAGATGTTTAGTAAATTACTGTACACACATCAGCTGAAGATCAAACACAGGCACTACATATCACATGACATTTTATCTGGCAACTATATTTTGATTATAGGGATATTTTGTCGGGTATTCGGATGTAAAATCTAGCTGCTTTTTAGGGGATTTCGACATTTTTGCTGAGTATGCCAAATACCATTTTCTGCTTTTTTGCCATTGACAGGCCAGATTTTCCTGATTTTCTTACGTGCTCAAACGCCGATTTTTCCATTTTTTTCTCTAACACATGCATTGCAGAGCAGTATTGGAGTGCTGTAATGCACGTGGCTGAATCCTATGGACAAATATATATGCACATGTATGTGTGTGTATATAAATCTATGCACGCATTTTTGACGGAGTACAAAGCACAAGCCTTGCGTGTAAACAGCATCCTGGGACCATCTGGTCAGTGTGTTGTGATTGGCTGCAAGTGAAACATCAATATTCATATGTGTTTCAGTGGGACTCAATATGGCCATAGTTAAGCTACTGAAGTTGCAATATTCAAGTGGAATGCACATGTAAAGTTATTCAGTGCAGTGTCGTGTACCAGTTGTATTTTGGCCACATGCTTTGTGATGACTGTATGTGACCTCTCACTACAAATTGAGCTGAAAGTTGGCATTTTCATAAATTGAAATGTTTGGATTTTTTACTTCAGCAGAAAGAGAGCTTCCCATTGGCATGTACATGGGACACTAAGGGGAAAAGTATCAGGTGACAATGTGACATGATTCTTGCAGCTTTGCGTCTTTGTTCCTGACATTGTTTCAACATTTCAGACAAGGCACGAATAATGCAGTCGTCAAAGTTGCTGAGAAAATGGCATTTCTAAATCTGTCATCCTGCGAAATATTTGGATTAAATAGGAGACAAGTTACTCTTTCCAAAAATTACACAACCCAAAAATTGGCCTCCACTTCAACATGACTTTGAATCAGAGTTGAAGACTCGAGTCACTTGACTTGGACTTGAGTTTGATTTGAGTCTCTATTTTTGTGACTCTTAACTTGACTTGTAAGTATCAGTTTTTGACTTGTGACTTGACTTGGACTCACACACTATGACTTAGTACCAACGCAAGTCAGAAATCTACTCAATCGAACCCATTACGGTTGGCTGTTGTATTAGCTGTTTGTAGTTTGGCTGTTGTAGTCTTGCACATTTTGTTTTGCAGTTATTTTCCCCCCAACTTTCCAGGGGGAGCCAATCAACTGCTTCATTTAAGTCGCATATTGAATTATTCATATCAATTCATGACGTCACTCAGCCAAGATTGAAAACAAAAATGGCACCCTGATCTCGAATGCCGAAAATTTCAGTGTAAAATGCCGCATTTAGGTAGTTGTAACATGCCTTCTAGACACGCTACTAGATCATTTTTATATCCAGATTTAAATAAGCAGATTCAGATACATGTATGTTGAGTTTCCATCCTGTAAATTTCCTTGGATTGTAAGGTAGTATTTACATGTATGTGTGATTTGGTCTAGGTTGTATGGGAACAAGGCATATATCTGACATAGTTCCCTCTTTCTTTAATCTTACCTTTTGAACTTTCAAACATCAATGTCCCCAACTGTCCCAAATCCTCCAATATATGATTATACATACACCCTGTGGGTTTATGCTTGATATCTTTTCTGTACAATTGTCAGTGTCTTTTTCTCATTCTTTTAACTGAACAGACAGCAGCACTCAAAAGTGGAAATTGGTCACATTATTGCCAACTTCATTATTTTTGCATATTTCCAAAATTGCTTTTTGAAGGGAGTTGAAATAAAGGTAATGGTGTTGTCTGTTATTACCTCATCCATTTTTCAAAAAAATCTTTTGTTTATGAATGACACATCATGATGTTGGTAACAGCATGACCAATTTTCACTTGGGCATAAAATTGCCTAAAAACAGCAAAAATTAATTGTAAATTTTCATTAACACCTTGTGAAGATTTTTAATGAAGTAGCAAAAAATATTTTGGGACACAGCATCTTTGAGCTCTCCATCCATCCAAATCACTTCTCCTTGCCAGCTCATTGATTACGTCCTCTCAACAGAACTGGAATCTACCTGAGCAGCGATTGGCCTTAGATGAGTTGATCAACCACTGTGAGCCAACACTGGTCAGGCATGTTATGTCCATCATTGAACCTCAGTTCCAGAGGGATTTCATCTCACTGCTACCTCGAGAGGTAAGACGATGATACCTTCAACTACCAAGGCAAATTTTTATGAGAACACCATACAAATCTTGTAGACACACCTGAAATCCAGGAGCACTATTCAGTTACCAGATGTGATTACTTGAGTAATGTATCTTACTTGGTTACATTTTTCTGTGCAGTTAAAGGAAAACCAATCTGTGAAAAAAGGATTCCTAGAGAGATGCAAGAGAACAACCAAAAGCTTTTTAAGATCTTAAACATTCCATGCATAAAACATTTGCCAAACAGTGTGGGACAAATTAAAAATAGGGGCGCTTTTCTTGCAGCAGCCATGTTTTTGTAATTCTCCTGTTATTCTCCAGTTAGAAGTGAGCTACATGTAAATCTTTAGCTTTTGTGAGCATCCTTTCATATCGTCGATTTTAAGTGACTCTTTGACATGTGAGCGTCCTGTGGTGTTGACTTTTAACTAAGTTTTATCTACAAGTCGAGATGTTAGATTGTTTCCTGTTGTCCACTTTCCATCCTGGTTTTATATGTAACAATAATGGCCATACAACATTACATGAGAACTTTGCTAATTTTCCTTACATTGGGACTGTGTTTCCTTAGGTTACATGCGCTCAGAATAATTGTTGGTTCTAATAAATATTTGGATTATTCCACTACCCTTAAGTTCCAGTACCATCCTTAGAACACAGTCACTTATTTGAAACATGGGCCAGATCTCTCATTTCTTCCAAACACATGGCAACGCTACTTCCCCTTCGAAGTCCACCAACAGATCCATGTACACAAGTTCCTAGGAATAACCATGGTCTTAAGATTCCTTTCTGCCATACTAACAGATTTAGTACAGGTCAGATTTCAGCCAAACATGGGACACGCAATAGTATGTCAGCGTGTACTGAGTCCAACAGACATGAAAGGAGTTAACTACAAACACGGAACACACATGTCGCAGTCCATTCTGCCGAGTATTAACTTACAAACTCTACATGCAAACCACAGAACAGTCAGTGCTCTGTCAACCGGCACAGTCACTGTCCTAGTTTCTGATTGAGCTTAACTGCAGTTCAATTAGTCCTTAAATTCCAAAATGTCCTCAGAAACTGTTAGCATGAAAGGACAGACAATTTCCAGACGGATTTCCTCTGGGCGGTTGTGATTTCATGAAAGCCCATTGGCGTGCTATGCATGTACATGTACAGTGCATGCACTGGTACTTCTCTCATTTTATTGCACTATAATTGCACACACAGGAGCGGTGCAGGGAAAATTGTGCAGCTCAAAAAGTTGAGTCAAAATTGACAGACGTTTAATGTTTTTAATTGACTGGAATTCTGATACATGAGCTAAATTTCTCCTAGTTGAAAATTTGTCTCTTTAAAAAATCACCTTGTTATGGTTCTGGCTGAGAAATGGATTTCTCACTTGTTTACTTTTTATTCATGAAAAGGTTTTTGTCACAATCCGACCTAAAACAAGGAAAAGTGTCGTCACTTCTGTTGACCCCAAGCTTAAATTCGAAAAATAATTCTGTTGCATCCAAACACATGTGAGGTGGACTACCGACCAATTTCACTGGATTATGAAAATCTTTAGATGCAATGTGACTGACTGAAGTTGGTGATCCAGAAGTAAGGAAACAAATGTACCACAATACTTCCTCACCACTCCTGGTCATCATGTTGGCCACCCTACATGATTTCACCCTTCATGATTTCACTTAGGCAGTTTTGTGTGTTTTCTTTACACAATGCACAAAGCCAGAGCCACAGCACTGCAAGGCAGTTGTTCACTTCATGTTGTTTTGACCTCTGCGGTTTGCGGTCACAGGCCCACTCAGACAATGAGATCCGGCGCCTGGCTTATCATACATTGGACCAGCAATGCACACAAAATGTGCAAAGCATGTATTGAACAGTGTGTCAGGTTCACTGTTGGTGTTTTTGTGTCCACTTCAATTCTGACCTGTAGTGCATAAAAAATCGGCCATCCCACAAATTGTTTGTATTGTAAACTCACTTCATCTTGTGTGATTATTGCTTTTAAATATATTCTTTGATTGTTCTATTTTTTGTAACAAGTACTTCCTAATGCTTTACCAGTATGTATTTTACGTACTGTAATCCAATCACTATAAATTTTTGTAATTTTTGTACTCGAGAATTTTTAATCAAACTAAATGAAAAAAATAAATCAATCAAACAGTCTAGCTTAGTTGAAATGTACGAGTAGATTTTTCTGGTTGATTAACCCTAACACTCCTCAGTCCTCCAACAGGTGAAGGATTGAGGAGGGTTAGAGTTAAACAAAGTTCCAGCAGTCGGTCTCCAAACGGCATACACCGACAGATCTTGGCTGTGATTGTATGGTAGTTATTTGTATTACTGTATTGATCATGTCAGTGGCTGCAAACTGTGCATTTAGCTGAGCTTCGATGTTTGACAGTTACCAGCTGAACCCCTATAAGCCTTGAGTAAAAGTCAGCGTACTAGAGAACAAATAAGTTTTTGATAAGTTTCAATTAATCAAAACTACCAAAAGAATGATGAATGGTTGAGATTAAGACCAGTCACACATTTTAGAGTCACCTACAGTGTCACAAAACTATGCAAGCTTGTGACCATTCAAAAACTATTGAATTATATCCATTCACAAAATAAAACCTCTCCAGTGGCTCAACTGTGGCATTATTGCTCATAGATATCCTCTATAAATAATGTGTCAGGTCACTCTGTATGCACATGTAGGTTCTACAGCTCAAGTCATGGCTGAAGGCTCTACAGGGAATATCACAAGATTTGTTCTCCTATCCACAGCTTGCTCTGTATGTGCTATCATTTCTTGAACCCCGCGACCTCCTACGTGCCGCCCAGACTTGCCACTACTGGAGAATCCTGTGTGAGGACAACCTTCTGTGGAAGGAGAAGTGCCGTGAGGCCTGCATTGATGAAGTCAATGGCAAACAGACCCGGCGCCGGTCCAATTCTGGGGTGCCACGCAGTCCTTGGAAGAGCATGTACCTGAGGCAGCACCAGATTGAGTATAATTGGAGGTTTGCAGACATCAGGCACCCAAAGGTGAGATAGTGAAGATTGTACCACGGACCGAGGAGATTGTTCCTGCCTCAAATAGCATTTGTTATTTCAAATAGCACTTTGAAGTGTTGCAGAACTTCCTCTTAGCAATAAAAACATGTGATCATATTGGTTTGCAGACGAGTGTGGCTACTGGAAACGATTGCAATGTGTGTACATTTTTGTTTTTGATTTGACAGGTTTTGAAAGGTCATGATGACCATGTGATCACCTGTTTACAATTCAACGGTCAACGAATTGTCAGTGGATCTGATGACAACACGCTGAAAGTATGGTCAGCCATGACCGGTAAGGTAAGTCAGGATTTCAAACTGATATTGATTTGAAGGCTGAAAGAAGTTGGACTAAGCTGAATCAAAATGTACAATGTCTGTTTGGCTCCAGCAAAAGTAGTTAGGTGGTTGCTAAGTTTAGTTTTACAGAGTTAGTTTCTTTGCTTTACAGTGTCTGAGAACACTGGTAGGCCATACAGGCGGTGTCTGGTCCTCTCAGATGTCCAACAACATCATTATCAGTGGATCGACAGACCGGACCCTTAAAGTGTGGAATGCGGATACAGGCCAGTGTCTACATACGCTTTACGGACACACCTCTACTGTCAGATGCATGCATCTTCATGGCAGCAAGTAAGTGTCCACAAAGAAAATGACAAGCAAAGGCCTTCAACCTTCCTATGCTAAAGCCACTCTTTAATCACTTGATAAGTAGCACAAAGATGCATAGCAGTTTCACATTGTGCGTTGCATTAACTGTCCTTATAGGGATTGTCATATTACCAATTGTTCTGTCAACTGTGTTGCACTCTTCCATGTGCGCAATTGTGCAGTAAACAACTAGAGTGATGAGGCCAGTACAAAGCAGCCTGTGTCATTTTGAGCTGGCATATAGGAAACACATGCCAAATAGTGACTGATGGCATGTGTGCATATTTCGTGCTGTTAAAGCATAGGAGGGTTAAGAGAGGTTTGTAGGATGAAATTGTGAGTGTTGAACAGCCAAGTGTCCCGGTTTGCATAGGAAGACAAAGGCACGAAATCACAAACAATCCCATCTGTTAACAGTTTGGCTGACATACATTTTTCCAGCTCTTAACCCTCCTCGTCCCTCCTGCCACAAGAATTTGTTAATTATCTTGCTTAAGGGTCATTTTATAAATTTGGGGTCCGACGTGTGACATTTTCTGTCCCTGTTACACCTGACGTGTATAATTTGACATGGAATGCATCTTTGAGGCGGTCTTAAATACACATTTAAGACCAGCCAAGCACATACATGTTTTTATTCCCTTAATGCAATAAAGCCCCACATTCGGTTGACTCTCATTATTACGAAATCGGCTATAAATTCTGGTTATAACAAACACACATCTGTGGTCCCAGCAAAAATGTGCACATTTCTATGGGGAGAAAATCTGTGACAGCTTAATTGCATTGTACAAAATTCCTGGTACAACGAAAGATTGTTGTGACTTTGTTACCTGAAAAACCATTGTTGACCCATTTATAACTAGCGTTTACAAATCGCAGTGGTGAAAACACGTGTGCAATGCAGTTGAAGCCATGCTGCACTGGTTCCTGCTGCACCGAACCATTGCCAAAGAAGGCATGATGAAAATGCGGCAACCAGTCTATGTACTTATCCCATCCCAAATAGCATCGTACGTTGCACTACATCGTATACGAATGCAGTTCTACAGTTGCAACTCAGAAAAACACTGCCGTTACAAAATTTCTGCAAGTTCATTCACTGAAATTGATCTCATGTCTATGTTTGTATTTTCTGTATTCACGAATTTAATTTGAGGTTGTACTGCTTGTACTCGAAGCGAACGTATTTCCACAAAATTTCCTGCCACAGCGCATGAGGTTTATCACCTACCCCTCCAGATGCATGCTTACAGCGTAATACACAGGCATTATTCACCAGTTTCCTGTCGCCATGACTAGTGTAGTGCACGATTAAAAAATCAGTGATTTTTCACACTGATTACAGCAGCGCCAGAACAAAAATTCCCTTCCTAATTCCGTTAAACATACACCCCAAATAAGTTGGCTTGACTTTTCTTGCTATTAGAGCCCAACTAATTACCCAGCACTGCTAAAAGAACTAGCATGCCCACCAATGAGATTGTGCGCGATATTCCCTCATGACATAATGCTTTTTCAGCGACCATCTTGCGCGTGGGTGGCTGGGTAGCGGTGGGCGAGTGAACTCAGACTACCAATCAAGCGTGGTCATGCAGCTAGTGCATAACATCAAAAGACAGACGGAAAATTAAAAATGTCTCTCCATGATACAGTTTGTGTTGGAAAGACTACTTGCATGGATGATGAGTTTTCACATTCTTGCAGGTACACACAGGCTTACATGTGCATGTCATTAAGTTACATTCGTCCTCATCCATGGTGATCGAAAGTCTTTAAAAATCCCTGGCGCATTGCTTTTAAATGTATTTATTTTTTTTATCTCACGTGTACATTAAATATTTTTTCATACAACAGTGAAGTTCATTACTCAACACACATCACAGTTTATTTGATTAATCATAACCAAGAGATTTTTTTGACATCATTAACATCGACCACATTCATGTGTTTGCATGTACAGTTCATGTAAATGGCATTATACATGATAGGACCTATTGACGCAATACACCGAAGCCACTGCACTGCGTTCTGCCTAAAACAAATTTCCTTTAGGTCCTGCGGATTTCATAATAATGAGAGTCGATTGTATTTGTATACCAATCTTGCCTGGTTGCACTGGAAGGGCTACACTTCTTCCTGTGATTCATCCGTTTCTAGGGTTGTAAGTGGTTCCAGGGATGCGACTCTCCGAGTGTGGGACATCGAGACTGGCCAGTGCCTGCATGTGCTTATGGGTCATGTGGCTGCCGTCCGCTGTGTTCAGTACGATGGCAGGCGGGTTGTCAGTGGAGCCTATGACTATACCGTTAAAGTCTGGAACCCTGACAATGAGGAATGCTTACACACACTGCAGGGACACACAAACAGGGTCTATTCACTACAGGTAGGGCACAATGTTCAAGTTGCCCTTTTAAGGGGTTTTCCAAATCTTGGCTTCATTGTGAATTTTGTGAAGAAAACTCCCTTTCACATTCACATTTACACTCATATTTCTCAAGATGTGAAAATAATTTCTCACTAATGTGAAAACAATGGCTGTCAAACATTGATTTGTGTGAAAACATGCGAAAATCTGTTTGCCCTTGAGTGGAAACCTACGACATTTCTTTTCCACTTGGGGGAAAATCTGTGAAAATCTTTTTCCTTTTGTGGGAAAATGTGACAATCTATCCCCACTTAGGGAAAATGAGTGAAAGGTTTTCCTACTTGTCAGGCTTGTGTGAAAAGTTGTGAAAATCTTTTCCCACTTTGGAAAGTTTCTCATGGTTTGTGGAAGGAAAATAACTTCCCTCAGAAGAGAAAGACTCTGAGAAGAATTTCCCGTTTCCTGGTTAATTTTCAATTGTAACGTACTGTGTATGCTAATACCTTAACAATAGAAGAGTTTTCTTTTTATTTGAATATTTCTGGCTTTTTCACAATTTTGCAAAAATGATATTCTTTTTGGTATGTGGTTTTGGTTTTTTTTCCTGCTTCCTCTTCTGACCAAAAGCCTATTCAGTTTGTGCACATTGTTTCTTCCCACAACTTTGGTCCTTTTGCTATGTTGGATCTTCATCCAACTTTCACCAATGACAAACTTTAGAACATGTACAAAGATGGGCTGAAAACAACGACGTCATGATTTTTTATTGATTTTTTAATATTTATTTCAGCTTATTGACTTCGTACACATTTTCAAGGCACAGTTTTGATAACCTAGCAATGTTTGATAGTCGTCAAATTTACACCAAGCACAGACCTTAAAGCACAAATGATACTAAAACATGATGTCATGATGATGTCATCAAGTGAATTTTTAATATTTAAATATGTTACATTTATAAAATCCATATAAATCAATCATGGCCTCCCGCAGCATTCCGTTTGCAGCTAGTGGCAGAATAAAATTTGGTCTTAAGTTCATCTTGTGTGGGTCAAATTACGTGACCCTTCCTTCAGGTCAAAACCGGAAGTGGGCTTCTTGTTTAAAAGTGGTAATAAGTATCAACGTGTTTTCAAAACATCCACTGATGATGTCACGTAATTATGGAGTGCTTTCTAGCAACAGGTTGAAAATTTTGAAAAATGAATTTTGAATAGATGTCTGTGGCGAAGTTTGTCCAAATCGCCTGAAAATTGATTTGGATGATGATCTTTACCCAGTTAACACGTGTGAAAGTTGAGGCCGATGATGTCATCGGACATCAAAGAATAAAAAGACTTTTATAACTTCCGGTCTGATGTCATCTGACCGGAAGTTATAAAAGTCTTTTTGTTCTTTAAAATTCCCTAAAAAATCAACCGTAAGAGGAAGAAGCATGAATTGTCTGTAATATGACAGCTCAAGCATTAGAGTCCATTGCACCAAGTGCATAACTGGTCTACTGTTTCACACAGATGAAGCACTGGTGACAAAAACGCACCCTACGATATTTGCGCACTCAAGAATCCCATTCATACATGTACACTGTGTAGTTGCTCTGATGTGGGTGAACATGTTGCATCTGCCTATAACAAAGACATTGCACATTACACTGTGCATAGGCTACTCGGGGTGGTGAAACAAGCACATGGCGCTGAAGTCTGATCATTTTGTATGGAAAGCCAAATACAAAAATGTCATTGCGACATGTGGCGCTGATTTGTGTGGAACGCCAAAAGACCAAAATGTTTTAAGTCCAATAAGACCTACTGTATACCGTGCTTTTTTCTTGAAGAACACAAGGTTCGCTTGTTTTGTACATACTCAATAGGGTTGAAACCTTGCAGGTAGCTAGGGAGGGATGTGTTATAGACGATCATTGGCCTTATGTACATAGTAATGACATCAAGAGATGACAACATGACATTAAAGGTGCACTCATCAAAGCACTATATCTCGTGAATTACATGCCCGAATGAGTTGAAACCTTGTACATATCTTGGAATGGGAGCGCTTTAGATGAATATTGACATGTGATGATGACGTCATCATGTGACAAGTGACGTGACATTAAAAATGTACTCTTCAAAGCACTATATCTCGTGAAATACATGTCTGATTGGGTTCAAACCTTGCGGATATCTTGAAACAGTTATGCTTTAGATAAAAATTGGCACCATAAGATGATGACTTCATCATGTGACAAGTCACGTGACATTAAAGGTGCACTCTCTTCTCCTTGAAAATACAGATTTATTTACCGTGTCCCTCAGAACCTTCACTGCTAGCAGCTCAAAGTGAAAATTGTCAAATCATGGTTGTGTATCAGTGCATTTGGGATACCAACTGGTTAAACATCATCTGATTTCCTTGCCTATTTCTCAGTTTGATGGTGTGCACATCGTGAGCGGTTCCTTGGACACCTCCATCCGGGTCTGGGATGCAGAGACTGGGGAGTGCAAACACACCCTGATGGGCCATCAGTCACTGACCAGTGGCATGGAGCTCAAGGACAACATCCTGGTCTCGGGTAATGCTGATTCCACAGTCAAGATTTGGGACATCACCAGTGGTCAGTGTCTGCAGACACTGCAAGGTGAGTTTAAGGAGGATTCATTCATCATTGGTTCTCTGTCTGAGACTAATGTTTGCTTGTTTTGAAATTTTCACAACAGTGACATAGGGTACAGTGAAAATCAAGCGTTTGCCTTTAACCCAAACCCCCTAGGCCCTTTTTGCTAGGGACCTTCCTCAATCCTCCAGAATCCTCCAATTTGGGGGTGAAAAAAATAGGATTCTTTCTCAATCCTCCAAAATCCTCCAAAATTTCTTGAAAATGTTACTTGGAGGTGTGCCTACTGCCTCAATCTTTCAAAATCCTCAGGCAATTCCTGTCATTATGTTGAGGCAGTGCGAATGACATTTTTGAGCAGTGCTGTTGATTCAAATGAAATACCGGCTGAATTTATGCATGACTGAGCAAGAAAAACACAAGGTCTGACCCATGACCTTCACTTATGGCATCCTTCGCAATCAGCCATGCGCTTTTGCCATTCACCCTCAATCCTCCAAAATTGCCCGAAGGATTTTGGAGGATTGAGGAGGGTGAGGGTTTAGGCTGATATCAGTCAGCTTCATAATCAACATCTTTAGTAAGCATTTACCCTGGATCATCCAGGATTCTTGTTCATGTGTGGTAAACATAAAATTTGAAATATCTGTCCATGAAATTGTTGCTATTCAAACATAGCAGTTGTAGAAAATGTTGTAACTATTAAGTCTTTGTGCAAAAAAAGATTGGATGGGCAGATATGGACTCTTCAGTAATGCACAGCAAAAAAAATGTTCTTTCACTGCCACACGGTATTTCTAAATCTTCCATGTAACCAGGTTTACTTTATGTGAGTTATTTTGGACTATCCAAAAGCATCCTTGTATTTTATATTTCAACTTGTCATTTCTGTATTTTCCAGGACCAAACAAACACCAAAGTGCAGTCACTTGCCTGCAGTTCAGCAAGAAGTTTGTCATCACCAGTTCTGACGACGGTACTGTTAAGCTTTGGGACCTGCACACAGGCGAGTTCATTCGCAACTTGGTCACCCTGGAAAGTGGGGGTAGTGGAGGCGTTGTCTGGCGTGTCCGAGCCAACCAGACCAAGCTGGTGTGTGCAGTAGGTAGCCGCAATGGCACAGAGGACACTAAACTATTGGTGCTAGACTTTGATGTGGAAGCGCAGAAACTATGACAGCTCCTAGGTTGAAACTGCTTGAAGATACCCCAGAAGTCATAATTGAAACAGCTGAATCCAGATTCCTTCAGCATTGACTAACTGGATTGCCAGCCAGTGAGGTTTAAATCACTGTGGCAAGTTTGACATGTTCTCAGCTGGATGCAGCACGTATTTGCTAATAGTTATTCATACTCTGTGCCTGTCTGAGAATTATGCAGTGGAGAAAAGGTTATACTCGGTGTGCTTCGGTGTCCAAGCATGCAAATCCCAGTCAGCTTGGAAGCCACTCGTGCTGTGATGCCTCATAATGAGGATTCTGACATACCAAAGGATAGATGTGGCATCTTTTCAACATCAGGCCTAATTTCCATTTGAATCATGGCTTTGGAAAGTCAATATAAGTTTATACTTCACAACTATACATCCAGTACCCAGACCTACTTGTAGAATTACACAGTATAGCAACAGATATCAGCATAGTTTTCTTCAACCAAAGTGTTGACTGATCACACACTGAAATGTGTAAAAACAGCTCTCCCTTCAATTGGACACCTTGGTTAAGGTTAAAGGAAAGACTTCCATTATATTCACTGACACTGTGCATCATACAATGCAGTGTAGAGGGTGGTATTGAGGACTTAGCAGTGTTGATGAATGGTCTGTTCAACTGTTGTAGTCCCTCCCAGCTGTCACCCATTCATGAAACTTGTAGATGAACTTGCATCTCCTGTTACAGTTGGTCTGGAACCCAACCTTGTGCATTTTTCTTGTAAAGCTGCCTCAGATCTATTTGGGACACTGGCTCAATCCAGATATCCAAATTGGGAGATCAGGTTGCTAGTTATGGTGTGTGAACCTTTTAGGACTGGATCCATTGTAATCCAAGAGAATATTGCAAAATTACTTCAGAATTTAGGTGGCTTGTGTTTACTTGTTTACCTTCCTATGCAAAGATGCATTCTTGATAAAGTTGTCCTATCAGTCAAAATCAGGCAAATGACCACAATGTGTTTGTTTATTGTGGCCAATCAAGTGGAAGGATTACAGCAAAAGGAGGGTCTATACTCTGTTACCACATCCAGCTACTTAATGTTTCTCATTGTTGTCTTAAAATCCTGTATCTCAATGGGCTGCGATAGCTCACAACTAGTTGGAGACACAAACTTGCGAGAAAATCCACAAATCTAGTGACAATTTTCACTTGGACTCACACTGATTTGGTGCTTACGACACATTTGTGTATGTCGCACAAATATTGCACAAATGTTGCACGAGCTCTGCGTAAAATTTCAGCCAGAATTTGCCTGGAGTTCGCATACATGTCCTGCAACTGTCACATGACATTCGCACGACATTTGCACGACAAAATTGTGAATAGTTTACACTTGCATCTGTCCCGCGACAGTCCTGTGAATGCTAAGGTTTTGTCTTTGCACCCATTTGAAAGCCACAGAATTTGGTACAGTTGAAATGAGAACTTTGCTTAGTGCAACAGAATGTAACAATGGATTCTGTACAGGGTACCATGCACAGATTTGACAGCAACTTTGGCAGCATGTGTTTTGTAGAGTTTCATTTTGGTAATCTGTCCAGGGGCTTTGCCAGGGAAATGCCGCATACACTAAGTCATTATGTGAACTAAATGACTTCACAAATCATGAACAGCCTTCCAAAATATTAGCAGGCGTCTGTAACAGTTTCTGCATCTTTTGAACGAGGTATAACAAGTGTGCACTGTGCAGTGGTTGCTCTAAAGAGAAGCATTAGTACAAAATTGTATTTTGTATACAAACTGCACATAATATGGTACATGCGCCTTACACATTTGCTTGTCTGTGAAGGTTGGCACAGCCTTGCTTATGGAAGTCACAATCCGTCCAAGTGCTGCCATTTCTTCAATATGCAACAAATCTGTTTCTTGCAGTTGCAGTCTCACTGGTCTAGCAACCCAAAGCAGTACAGCATACGTCTATTACGCATTTTTCTTTAAGTCTTGATTTCTTTTACATGATATTTTATTTCATACAGTTAACCATGTTTGGGTGGGAAATGTATTGCACTATTTGTTTTCATTTTGGTCTTGTTTTATTTTGATGGCATTATTTCTTCACAAACGTTGGCATATCTTTTGAAATAATGTCCGAGTTTGGGTACACTACAGTATATGGAACTCAATTCCTTGTGAATGTGGAATTCGTACTTTTCTTGAAAAATTAAATATGTTGATAATGCAGTTTATCCATAATATTATTTACTGACAGTGGAAAAAGTAGTCAGATGGCATACCTGGGCCCAAATAAATCAAACTTATTCATTAATATCCAGAAACAAGATAGAGGGACACTTAGCCTGATATTTGAGTCAAGGGAATCATCTGCATGTATAGACTTCTCTTTTGTTGCAACACAATCTTTTTCTCAGTGTGTTTACTCAGTTCAGTATTTTATCATGGTAGAAAGTTCAGCTGAAGCAACGTGTCTGAATGCTTAATCCCATAGCAGTATGAAAATAAAATTTTAGTCCAGTGTTAATATTCACAGATTAACAAGGAGTTCAAGAACTTGATTTTGGTTGACCCCTGGAAACGTGATAAATTCCCATGTGTATGTGTACTTGGAACAGTGCTCTTAATTTTATTTACACTGATGAATGATTTGTTTCTCCTTCCTTACTTTAACACTATGTATTTTATGAATTCTACATAGAGAACCAGACTTGTATTTCACTTCACCAACAACAGTTGTTTCACATCCTTACCCACCCAGCATCAAGCATGATGATGAGTGATTGTGTTCAACAGTTGTGAATTTTTTTGTGCATTGAAGAATGATTTTGACACTGGTTAACTTTTTTGATGTTCAAGGCCTGTATGGTACAGTATGGGAATTATTTCTGTTACCAGGGATTTGAGAGTTTTGTGTTTTTTTATTGTTAACTGTCATGTCAAATAATGTTTAATAAGTGGGCCTGCCCCAAAGCTCTTACTGTGTGATTAATAATAGAGTTTCACCCAGACTATTCATTTGGTTTTTGACATGGCAATATAGACATGCTTCTCACTGCCTAACTGTTTAATATTTGAGCGCAATTTACATAAAGAATGAATGTGTAAGCATTAAGCACCTTCCAGTTATCACTTTTATTGCTCGAACTGTTTGTATTTTTGTTTTTCTAAAATTGTTTGTTACATGGAGTATGTTATTCCAAGCGGATGTCAGTTACAAATGTATATTTTTGTATCCTGTGCTTTATTATTTCAAAATCGACAAAAGAACAGTGTTGCATTCATTGTATTAGGAATGATTAAAATGTCTTTTGACTCGCTGCCAGAGTACCAGCTTGCAACTAATGGAAACTAGCTCACCACAGAAGGTGCCAAGATACAGTGTCATGAAATATCGGGCTAACAGTGTAAAAAAAATTACAGCTTAAGTGACATTTATGGAACGAATACTTGAATTTTTGTATCCAGTGACAATGTAAAAACAAAATGGGTTTTCAAAGTCAGAATCTTGCTCTGTCGGATCTTTGAGGTCCAGTTCTTACACGATATGTTCATTTAAGCCCAGTTTACTTCCTTTTTTTTTTCAAAGTACTCAAATGTTTTGCGCATGCCTGAAGGAATAATCAACATCTACATTGGTCTGACAACATGTAGATGTAAATTGGATCTTCTATTATCAGCATTTGTGTTAGTATCTACATGTACCCCAAAGGACTTCTCTGAATCTTTCGTTCCTTTTGATGCTCCCTAGTGAATTCATCCAAGTGTAGGCTTCATGGATCTTCTGTATTCATGATGAACCAAATTAATAAAATTGGTCATCTGCTGACAAACCAGATTGCTTCAGTGCCTCAGGGTGTTCTTTATTTAAAGTGATTGTGCATTCAGTATTTAACGTAGTGTACTTTGTAATCAAATAAAAAAACCTGTAATAAGGGGTTGAAGGTGGAGCTTTGAAATGTGTTGTCATCCTACACAGCATTGAAGGGAGTTACAATGGGAAGTACATGTATTTAGTAATCATACCCAGTGGTGTATGCAGGTCTCAGGTCGTGGGGGAAGCAAATGTTTTTTCTTTGAAAAAAATTGGCAACCTCTCAGACAACTTTCTTTTTGTTTTTGCTTGACGGGTGGAAATGTGCCTTTCTACCTAAGTAATGGTTGTTACTTGTGCCGTCGACAACTGCAACGATGTGGCTCATCTAGCGGTGCATTGACTCTCACATCCAGCAATGGATGTGGGTACATGGAAGAGGGTCAGCCCGGATGGGCAGTAGATAGAGTGCCACTGTACTTTGAAAAAGGCTATGGTCTGTCAAAAATTAACTGGGATTTGGAAGGTTTGTAAATTATGCTTGAGGCCATCCTGATTGCTAAGTCTTGTATGAGCACAGGGGTAAGGAGTATAAGCCAGCTCCTTGAAGATGTCCTCTAGATCATCCTCTAGCCTATAGATGTGATCAGATCAGTAAAGGCGGCAAGCTAAGAGCTGTTAATTACATCGTGACCGAGACTTAGCTGCTGACCCTTCTTGTGACCTCCTAGTTAGGATCCCTAGAGGATGTTTCAGGAGGAAACCAACCAGGTACCAAGTGTGAACATGTTATCGACTCTGTGAGCTCAATGGTGGCGAGGTTTTAGACTTTGTCAAAGCAACGGCTTCTCAAGATTGAGCAAGACGGCAGTGAAGTGGAAGACATTCAAGCATCATCCTGGTGTTGATAGGTCAGTAATGACTTGCTGCAGTAGAGTAGTGTACGGAACATAAACAACAAGTACTTGGTGGAGGGTAGTCTGTTCCTGACACAAGAACAGAATCGATCAAAAGTGGCTGCAGCCCTTTCTATCTGGAAGCCAACTTTTGCTTCTAGAGTATTGGTACTGGTAACTGTAGAGCAAAGGTACCAGATTTATCAACCTTCCTCAGCGCCGTGCTGTTGCTTTTTGGAAGAGGTACGAGGCCTCATGTTAATACTATGGCCTTGTTGAGACTGATCCTCTAGCAAAATTCCAAACAGGCAGTGGAGGAGTTGCGGGGATCTCGAAGGTCAGCTTAAGAGTGATTAACAATGGCTGCATCATCACCATACAGAATTCTTGCACAAGGACTCGCCTAACCTTGTTCTAGGTTCGAAGATGAGGTAAATTGAAGAGATTCCTGGAACTACGAGTGTGCAGCAGAATACCAGATAATTCAGAAAATTCATGATAGAGCAAGGCTAAGAAAAAGATGCTTGAGGCCTCGAAAGATTCCCAAATCTGCACATCTTTAAGCCGTTGAAGTGAACTGTGGCATGCATTCTGTTGTAGAAGCTCATTAGGAAGGACAGTAGCCTACCAGGGCATCCCAAGTGCTTTAAGATGATGAAGAAGCCTGAGTGACTCTTAGCCAGGTTCAATGGCAACGTGCAAGGGTCACTGCTATTTGACATATTTTTCTTGAAGCTGTCTCAAGGAGAACCCCGTGTCAAAAGTAGCCTAGGATGGGTGAAAGACACACTGGCTTTCAGAGAGGATTCTGTTAGCAATGACCGGAAGCCGAGGTAATAACACACAGGATAAACCTAAGGACAACAGCCGGATGCCCCTGTAATTGTTTGCAGATCCATTATTGAAAAGGGTGATGATGTTAGCATCTTCGAGATCCTTTGGGATGGAGCAGGAGTCCCAGCAAGTCACAAGAACAGCGTGAAGGTAATTGCTCTTGGTGACAGCTTTATTTTGTAGGCCCCTGATGGCATGCATAACCTCCACTAAAGTGGTAGGCTTGTCCAGCTCGTCCGGAACAGAAAGCTTACATAGGGTTTGAGTGGTACTGTCAGTGTAGAGGGACTGACTTCTCTAATGCTGTAGTGTAGCTAGCTATTGTGCTGTACCCACTTGTCAAGCACACCGTGGATTCTGTTAGGATAGCACCAGTGGGTGACAGCAGCTAGAGGACCTGTTTTGCTTCCATTTGCTTCCTTGATGCCTTGATACAAGCCACGTAGGTCAAGAGAATCGGCACAGTGTCAGATGCTGTTGCTGAAGTGGGAACAGTAGCACTCACGTCAGCCAATGATGGTCACGGTGCTGTAGTCCTCCACTGAATGGAATCTGGACCCTCCCTCATTCATGTTGGCAGAGATATGTGCTCAGCTAAAGCTACCAGAAAGAGGCTCCTGGAGCTGAGCGGCACAATGGTCATGGGTTAAGACTATGTCAACCCCAGGGTCTGGGTGTTTCATGATGGAACGTCTTGGTTGGTAACTGAAGATTACAGCAAACAAATGCATATCGTCTATTTTCAGTATTTAAAGAGGAATGCAGAGTATGGATATTTTTTATTTCATTATGTGCGGGGCCTAAAAAAAGTGGGGGAAGGGCAAGGCCCCAGTCGAAAAAGTGGGGGATCCGAACAAAAATCCAAGCTATTAAATAAGAATAATAATTATTCTGAAGCTTAGATAATGCTCAGAGNAAAAACTCACAAGCTTACTCGGGTGGGACTCGAACCCACGACCTCCTGCCTCCTCCACGACCTCCACGACCTCCTGCTCAGAGTTTTGCTGAGGCGCAGTGTATTGCTGCTGATGCATTTGAGTATTGCTGCTGCGGCCCTGGGTTAGTTTAGCGCTTACTCCAATTGAAGCAGAGGACTCGGGTAATAAAACAAGCCTTCCAATCACTTTACTGTACATTGCATTGGTTGATTATTGTTGAATAAATTGTATCTGCTGTACCGATAATTCTCTTGTAAAGGATAACTTTCTTTACAGCTTCATTGTATAACTTTAACAGAGACTAATTAACCCTCAGTCACAATCGGCGGTATATTTCCTCCAAAACGGACCCGCACGCTTAACCCTCAGGTCGTTCTGTGTGGCCTCTCGTCTAGGGAAGATCCTTCGGTTGGGAAGATTGATTCTGCCACTAAAAGTGCTAGATTTGATCCCATCAACTTTGGGTAGGCCCGGCGATGCCCGCTACATAAGGAACAAAAACAATTATGATTTAATGAGAATGTTACACTTAGCATGTAAAAACACAAAGATAACAAAGAAAATTCTGATTGGAACTAGTTTACGATAAGGATAGCGAATTAAGAAAATACTTTTTTAATACAGGATGACCTAGCGGACGAGAGCTTGGCAGGCACTACAGTGAAGAATGCTGGATTCTACAGATGTTAAAAAAAACCAAAAACAGTTTGGTCCTTGACGGTGCAAAAATGAGCTGCAAAGGGGACAAAGACCGCGTCCAATATGAATGACCGGGGTCGAGAAAAAACGGCGAATGCGTGGTATGGCCGTCGCAAATAAGGGAATTTGATGATCCCACAAACTGGAACTGGATTCAGTTCACAAACTGTCTCTTCCGGAACAAGGTTCAGCTCTGCACTTTACTTGGTCTGGACGAACTTACAAGTTTCGCTCCACGGACGACTCGCCACCACAGGTTGGAATGTTGCAGACTTCAGCAACTCAAAGCCTTCTCACAGCCTGCGTACAGGAAAATTGCCTTCCAAAACCTCTCTTGGTGTGTATGTGTGTGTCTCACTCTCTGTCCTTGTCAACCAGAGCCTGTCTTGTATAGTGTACAACTCGTCTAGACATTTCTTCACTTCATAAGTTTCTTAAAATAGACTTTTTGGCACTATGTATTCCTACAGTCCGTGCACTATACAACTAGAAATTATAAGCTTACTAGAGACTGCACGTGTATATACATAACAACAGCCATTTTGAAGCTATGTGCGCGCTTGTAGAACATCAGAAATCCGATAGAATGAATATCGAATTATACTCTAAATACAACACGCATCAGGTACAGATAAAATCCGATTAACTCTAATTTCATAGGGTGTATGTAAAATCATATTGAAATCGGAGGATATAGGACTGGTAGGGCTATCGCCTCTTAATAAGTATCCCATTTTAAAGAATATTTGCTTGATTTATTAGGGTGTAACGTCCGACGAAAGTTTACCCTACATGTTACCGAATAGTTTATATTCTTCGCATGACTTGAGTTGTAAGTTTATTGGTAACATTTTATTTCAGTATGCCTAAGGGTTACATCGAATAGTCAAAACGCCTCTTTTCTTTGCATGTCTGGAATTGTGAGACCCCAGGCTAGACTTAATTGCAGTAACGGTTATATGAAATGGCTATTTCTGTGTCTATTTCTAGAGATGCCTTTGCGTCGGGGAGATGTTAATAATTTGGGATATTTGCCTTGTCCGACGTGTATTGTAACGCTTTATAATCAGTGTTTCCCCAGAAGCTTGTGAGAAAAAAACACAAACGTACTCGGGCGGGACTCAAACCCACGACTTCCTGCTTATTTCTCACTGAAGTTGAGAGTTCGAGTCCCATCCGAGTAGGCCTACTACATTTGTGGTTTTTCTCACAAGCTTTTGAGGAAACACCGAGTATACAGTGGTACAATACACGTTGTGCAGGGCAAATATTTTTGTGCCAAAATGCCTCTTATGTATATCCCGTTTTCAGTATATTTCATAAATGTGTATTTCCAACTAAGGCTACCGGTACAGTTATTCAGCCTTGTAGTGACTCTCAGAGCATGATTGCCTGCAATATGCGCGATTCCTACAGTATCAATATCCCTGCATTGACTTGGAGCAGGAATCGAGGCGACTGAAAGTCCTACCTGGATGAAATTTATCCGGTGTAATGAGTATACGCCCTATACAATGATGGAGATGGTGTTTACACGTAAAACTAAACCGACCAAGTCCTAAGTTGAACAACATGACGATAGCAACAATCTGCAGACTCCACTGATTAAGTGTGGACGCCAAAATAAAATAAAAGTTTCCTGGTGGATCGACGAAAACCTCAACAATTCAGAACAAAGGTTTTTGCGCAATGATACTGATTCTTGGTGTGAGGGAACACCAAATTTATCTTCTATTACTGGATCTGAGGAGACAGGTCTAGACGCATGTAACTATTCTTTTTATAAAAGCATAGGCAGTTCCCATGTAGAGTTTAACTCGTTTCAGAAAGGTTCCTTCGATCATTCGTACAATACAAAGTAAAAATGTAGACTGATGTAAGTCCTCTGATTTGCTCTTGTTAAAAAAATAATCTGGAGATTCCATGGATGACGAAAACAAAGTTATACCCTCCGATGTGAGGGTGGATATGTATACTATTGACAACAATGTAACAGAACAAAGTATGTTTTGGTGTGTTGATTGAATTGCCATAAGCAAATAAACATTTTTTACATTGACAGATCCGACTGGGAAATGCTGAGAAAAAAGGAAAACAAGTGGGTGCTTACTATAATAACCAAAAATTGGGTACACGCACAAAGGATTAAGGACAGTTCACCTGTATTGCACTCTCCAGATTAAACGGCATTCTGTTGCCCCGAACACAAGCCACAAAAAAATCGAAATATGCGTTTACCTGTACATATCAACAGACACTCTATATAAGCAATATATATAAACACAAAAACTGCAACAAGGAGTGTAAATTCCTTTCCTTTGGCGATTTCCTTCATGATACACTTTGATAATCTAGATAACCCAGACATCACTTAGACCCCACTTTGTAAGATTTCGTTAAATGCATGTCGCAAATCAACAAAATATTCGTATGAATTCGCCACTTCAGATACGGTCGTCCAACCATGTGGACTTGAATCTGCCATCCTAATCAACTTCTAGCGCTTGTCAATCGCCTCTACGGCCTTCGCCAAACTAGCTTTTGTATCAGCTACCTCCAGGTTGCAGTCGTCTTCTACTCTCCCTTTGAGCAGCTGGATGATCTCTCTGACTTCTCTGTACAAACACAATTTACCCCAAACATTAAAGAAAAGGTAGAAAAATGCAGGGGGGATTGTTAATTCTGGAACAGTAGTATCAATTTATTCGTATAGTTATTAATATTATTTTAACACACAGTACGGAAAGGGTTTCAAGCAGATGCGGGGAATGTGCCAAACAAACGTGACGTGACCCACCTGTCGTGCCACTCCCCCGTCCTGGTACGTATTTTGCATAATTACGTAAGGTCTGCCCTCACGCGACATACCCGTACGCCGAGAAGAAAAGAAATATGTTCTCATTCGCTCCTGTCGCTCAACCGAACATATTTATATTTATGGCGGTGAACATTTCTAATAAACAATTCTGAATAATGTGTACTCGAGATGGCATGCGAAAGTCTAGTTCCATTACACAGACCCATACATCCACTAAATGCTACGACCATCTACCCAGTCCCTCTGATTGAAAGAATGCAGGGAAAATTGGAAGCAGTCATGGTATTTCATATATTTGGTTGCGGTGGTAAGTTAGCCGGTTGATTTCTCCGTGAGATAGCACTTCGTATTAAAAAAAGGTGTGGCCTATTTAGACTTCCGTACTTTTACGCTGGGGGGCGGGGGGACTGTAGTAACTTTTTGATACAAGTGCAGTTTTATCTGATCGCCAAATTTCGTCCACATTTTAAATGTACTCGTTATTTTATTTACATAAAGCCCACCCTAAAGGCCTTTATTGGACAGGGACTTTGCGAACAAGGCACGAGGACCCACATGAGGCTAAGCGTAGGGCCAGCGGGTTTGACAAGGGACAACGGCCAGAGCTGTAAAACAGCAGTCTTAACTCACGGAC